CTTTACCTTTGAACATTCAAGAGGAGAAAGGGTATCAGAGGGGACAGTGATCCCTAAGTCTTCAAGTGTCTTGTCCTGGTTGTGAGATTTAGAATGAACACCTTCTGATGGATCAATATGTCGAACAACTTCAACTTCCTTCAGGTTACAAAGAACAGATTTGGGATTAATAACTACAGGACGAACAGACAAATTGCAAATCCTAACAGGTACCTTGGAAAATGTATTACCAGGTCTAACATGTACTACTCTTGGAAAGATATTAAGATAATGTGCAGAATCAGAAGTCTCAGTAACACCAACTGTCATATCTCCAACATTACGAACCATTCCAGTAACTGTACATGTTTGCATAGGCTGAATTGTGAAAGGTTTATGATTAAAAGCTTTCACAGGTACAGACTGTACAAAAGAAACAGCAGTAAAGGCTTGCTGCCAACAGGAAGGGATATTTTCCTGTTCATCTATGGTACTGAAATGTCTAATGACATTAGTTCCAACAATAACTGGTACAGTTGAAGAATAAGAGGTATCTGGAACAACTAAAACAGGGACAGTTATAGTATCAGACTCAAGTGAAGGAATAGAAAGATCAAGAAGGCCATATCCTTTGTAAGGAACTTTGGCATCATTGGCACCAGAAATGTCAAGGGCAAAATCCTCTAAACTATGAAGGTCTTGAGATGGTGTTAAAGACTCAAAGAAAGATTCGCTAACTGTAGTGACCATGGATCCAGAATCAATCAAAGCTTGGCAATTATGTCCATTAATAACAACATTAGAACTGTTGGAATGACCAAGTAAAGGAACAATATTAGGGCCTGGATTACTATGTCGACCTTCTACTGGCCCTGTTGAGAAGATCTGGCCTCGTTTAAATCATCCTTCTTTGGAACTGGTTTGACATCTGTAAGAGGGTTTTGGACTACCTGTTTATTCTGGTTTGATGTCTCTCGACCTTGACCTCTACCAAGATAACTACTGGAGGGATACCTAGAAAAGTTAGATGTGGGAGTCTGACCCTTCTTCAGTTTCTGCATGTCTCTTTCAATGGTCTCAACTCTGGTGTTCATCTTCTTCATTTGGCAAGTCAATTCTTCTAACTGCTGCAACACCTTATGTTCAATAACAGACATGTTGACTGAACAAGGGACGGGATTACTAAACTTAGTACTAGTGGCAGAAGAAGAAAAAGAGACAGAAGCCTTACGCGCCTTCATGTCCTGTTCAATCTGGCGCAGCTCACGTCTGAGAACATTGAAATCAAAAATGGACTCGAACTTGTACCTAGTCACATTCCGAAGTTCATCATCTCTCAAGCCAGACCATAAACGGTTACGCAACATATCATTCTTGGTAAGATGATCCAAGTTCAAACTGGCATTAGTAAATAACCTTTCCAGTCTCAGACTGCACTCAGCTACAGACTCAGAAGGTTCCTGTCTGGCACAGTAAAACTCCTCTTTAAGTCGCCCAGATGTAGCCACATTACCATATATTGCATCAAGATCTGCAATAATATCAGCAATAAAAGCCCATTCACCTAAATGGAGTAGAACAGTTCTAGCCTTACCCTTCAAACTACTACGTCATGAAGTTTGCCATGCATTGGAATCGTATACTAGTATCTTAACAGATATACTTGGGTTGTCTAAAATCAGTTATTTATATTGAGATAAAGACTCCTATCAAAGTATCCCATGCGAAAGAATAAACAGTTCTCTATATTGTTCAAGGTTTTACTTTTTGAATTTTAAACAAATTATTTTTGTATCAAATATTTACCTTTGTCTAATCTCATATGAAAGTAATGTGTAGCGGATGAAACGAATCCTGTGCGAATTACTTATTTTATCTGTAATCTATTGGGTATAAGTACTTCCTGTACACAGCTGCACAACCTGTATTGGACTTGACCAGCGCTTGTCCAATATAGGTTTTACAACTGTGCATATACTAGTCCAATAAATTTCAAAATTGTACTCAATTACCTTATAATTGTAGATTGCAAACGCTGAATTGAAAATTGGTAACATTTTATAAGGTGTTAAATAATTACTTATATCTTTATTTCTTTTTAACTTACGCACAAAATTGTGTATATTTTCAGACGACAGACAGGTAACTCTACACGAATGGGACCAGTACTTTACACATTTGGCACAACAGTTATTCGGACACGGACACAACGGTCATAATGGTTAAGAGAGATTGATACATGTAATCTTGCTATATTTCAATATTTTCAAAGCATTCGTTTGTTTTGTTGTTGTTGTTTTTTTCACTCATTTACACGATTCATTTTTTAATATGACCAACTGTATTGCTACATCATTTTGATATGGCAAAATATTTGGAAAAATTCTTCTGCAAAATTGCACATCTGAACATATATCACGAATGTAATATACATGGAAATGGCAATATGGATATTGCCAATGGTAGTACCAACACTATTAAGGTCAAGCTCATATGGCGATATTCCAGCTTTACTGGCAAAAAAAACAACAACAAAGAACTAGACCCTAAGAACATTACTAGTATTGAAGCACAGTCGGGACATGTGTCAATGGTCGTACAAAAACTATAAAGGTCAATGTTATATGGCGACATTCCTGCTTTACTGCGGAAAAAAACAACTATAGACTCTAGAACATTACTAGCATTGCACGCGCATTCAGGTACGTGAATGAAACCACCGATCTCTCTGTAAGCTTGCTATATATAAACGAGAAGTCGTCCTTTCTGCGACAATATAGCACACGGGGGCTTCACCGGTAAACCTGGATATGACATATACTACGAACAATAAGGCACATAGGGCAAACCATTTTGTGTAATTTAATAGCTTTAATGGAGTATATTTGGGTACAGTATATTTCGGTTTAAAACAGTGATAGGAAAATGTACATTTGGGTATATTTGGTTTTATCTTAGTGAAAGCATAATTAAAACAGCACTTTTTTAGTATTAAATATCTATTTTTACTTCAAAAAATAAAAAAATTGCCACAAAACAATAATTTTTCTTCAAAATTATGTGAAAGGCCACGTGTTAACATGGAAAACTCGATTTTCAGTAATTGCAGTACTTTTCATCCTATTTTGTCAATATATTTGGGCAATATTTGGGTGTATTTCGTGCTGCCCACATGAACTTGTACCAGAAGGCATTCATTAAACTCAAGCAACAGTATTACATTTATTTGATATGTTTACAGACCAGATGTATTCATCAAAGAACAAAAAAAACAAGGAAACAATTGTCTTTGATTCTTTTTATTTCTCATGTATATCATATTATTCAGAATATAACAAAAAGACAATAGCAAAACATTATATAATAAACATTTCATACAAAAATACACTCTACCTGTACACGCATATATAAATGAGAACTATTGAAAAACACATTAACAGAACTAGATAAAAAATAAATATATACCTTCACAAAAAAGAGAACTTTTTGGAATGAATCCAAAATATGTATATTAAATTAGAACAACAGTAAGTATTCACATAAATGGGCAAAAGAATGCTTTTAAATGACTATTTCAACGAAAATAGGGCAACTCTCATTTGTACCTTTTTATGCTTAAATATCTTAAATGGACGTGTCCGTCTTTCATTTTGGACAAAACTGTTTATCATTTAATACGGAAATTTTCAAAATATGAAGTAACTGTAAAGTGAACAGAAAAGTATCAAAAAAGGGCGACAACCACAGCTAAGCACTTTTGGTTCTAAAGAGGTGAAGTACTAATTATTAAGAACTTTTTATTTTAACCCGTGTCAAAAAAAAACAAACCAAAAACAAAAAACCTTTACACAAATTCAAATTTGGAATCATGAAAGATTTTTGTTAATTTCATAATTATAATAAAGTCAGCACCAAAAAGCATTTTCTTTAACATAAAAAATATCTGAAATAAAGCCACATTATCATAATGCCCAGAATTTTTAGAGACATAATAATAAGTCGAGGGTTTCCCACAAAACTGCAGTAACTTATTATAAATAAAGAAGGACTTACAACAGTTTTGCTGTAAACCCTAGATATCATCATTGTAATAAGAGGTATATCAAAATAAAACATGTGCACATTAAAGCAGCATGCCTCCAGATTAATTATTTTCATGAAAATTTTGAAAATTAAATTAATTGTATATTATTGTATAGTAACAAAAGGAATCATTTAATATATTTACAGATTTGGTGCTTACAACCCACGTTAATTATAAAGAGGTCAAAATATGCAAAAATGTCCTTACTGCGTAAATAACATAGTAGAAATATTAGTTAATTTTTACATAATGAAAAATTCACCATTAATCGCTCATAACATATAAATTAATACTTGAATCTTTCCACTTTTCCTAAAATCTTAATAAATTTTTCACAAGTTTGTTTTATTGAAATATTTTCACTCATATGGAGGCATGCTGCTTTAATGAATTCTAATATTGTGTACCGACGATTCTTATCAAATCAAAGCACCATCAACAAAGAACTTTATTGAACAAAAAAAAAAAAGGTTTTAAAATTTGTTAAAAAAATATGAACTTGAGGTTTGTTGTTGTAAATACTAACAATTTAATATTGCAACATATCTGCGATCACATTAAAATCTCTAACATTTCAAGGTTAATTCACTTGTTTATTTTTAACTCACTTGTTTATTTTTAACATCAATGACACCATGAAAAAAACGACACATTTCATGCCACAGTAATATAGTGAATGTAATGGCTTTTAACAAGTGTTTTCAAGTTTTCAGATAAATTTAACAAGCTCCAGTTAATTAAAGGGTTGATAAAATAGCATGACAAAGGTGTGTCTCTAAAATCATTGGGTTTTAAAGAAAAAGATCTTTGATGTATATAATTCAACTCGAAATTAATTGAACACTTAGTCTTTCACACACTTTTTGTACACTTATATTATTCACCCCACAACAATTGTATTATTGTCACAATACTTATGTAAATTATTAACTTTCTATTTGTTATTTTTTCTGCATTTTCACAATAGTTATCAAAAAGGTAAATTGATTACTAACTAGTAAACAGTATAGTTTGTTTTGTTGGATTTTAAGTCACAGCAACTCTATAAAGGTAAAACAGCAAAAGACTACAGATGCTGCTCCGTGCATTATTCCAGGCATGAGCGGGCACCTGAATAAACCAGCAACCTTCTGTAAGCTACCTGTAGTATATTGCTTCCACACATAAAAAAACTTGTTATCGATTGGATTTGAACCAACAGCGTCAGGGGCAAGTGGTTTTAAGTCCAGCATCGAGTCTAGTCAGACTGCTGGGATGTGCAGGGAGTTCTGATTTCAAAATTGTTGCATAGGTAAGTCATTGTCCATGCTCGCATTAAAAAAAAAATATTTCAATAAATATTAAAATATAATAAACAATGCTGATTTAATCACACAACAAAATCATTTTTTCCTGAATATTAAAGACAACATATTATTTTTCACAACAGTATCAGTTTGAAAAAAAGTATGTTCCCACATCTCTGCCCACAATAAGACATACAATAATAAATAAGCTTGTTAGAAAAAAAAAGTTAACAAAGTCGTCCCCATACATAAATTATAGAAAGAAAGTTCATATAATGGTTTAACTACCTGTAAGTTTTTCCATGTAAAGCATAGAAATGTTGATATCATGGTTAATTTAAGTCTATGTAAAGCTGAACAAATATTGATACCATGGTTAAATTAGGTTTACCACATAAACCATAGATATTTCTTGATATCATGATTCAACTAAATATATAAACAATAGATAGAAGTTGATATCTTAGTTACTTTGTATAGCTTAACAAATATTGATATCATGGTTAAACTAGATCTTATCATATAAACCACTGAAAAAAAAAACCTTGATATCATTGTAAAACTTATGTATTACTATGTAAAGCTTAACAAATTTTGATATCATGGTTAAACTTCAGGTCTTATCATCAATAACAAAGGAAAAGTTGATATCATGGTAAAACTCATTATAACTACCCTAAGCTTGACAAATATTGATATCATAGTAGAGCATTATCACCATAGAAAAACTTGTCTTTGATAACCAAGTCTATAAATAGACACAGAAAAAGTAAATATGGTTTAACTATGCCTTACTATGTACTGAAGAGAAAAAAATGAGAACAGCAATTTGAGAAATAATAAAATATATAAATATCAAATAAACAATGACATAGGGAAATATATCTAACAATAACAAAAAAACACATGAAAGAAAGAAAAATACATCTGAGTATTTTGCACAACAAAACAAAGCCCCAATACAGACATAAAAGAACATCAGACACTAAAGATAAGTTTCTTATGGAAAATGTATCCATTGTAAAACAATCCACTTTACATCAAACATAATTTAACCCTTTCACTGCAAGAGGGTTATTGTTTTATTGATCTCCTATTTGCCAGAGGGTTTTCTAAGAAATTACTATATTATCAATTAATATTGCTAGGCTGTTCCCCACCCACTCCATTTCATTGACCGCATTCGTTTACCATGCTGATACGATATTTAAATTAACTTACATTCATATCCTGTCATGATTGATTGTTTATATATTTTTATATATGTCACTTTTCCTCATTATCAAATATTGTCTGAAATTAGTCCGCCATTTTGTTAACTATAATTATATTGTGACGTCACATTAACCCAGTTTTTACGGGAAATCCTACTTTCATTTTGACGTCATATGTACACGAAATAAGCATTTAAATAGACCGAATTTCAATTAAAGGATCATAACGGAAAAGATAACTGAAATTGATAACATAAATAATATTCTTAGAAATGAAAGATAAAGATATTAAGGTATTTTAAGCAATATTTATTCTATTTATTACATGTATTTCTTTATTACATGTATTTGTCTATTATTGACTGTCAAATAAATTTATTATTTGAGTGATATAAAGAAATTAAAAGAATTATTTAATTTTACAAATTTGTTGTGACTATTGTTATAATCCTGAATCGGAACCGGTCTGACAATATAATCATAATTATTTATTAGTAGTATTATAATAATTATATATGTTTCCAAATCTGTTAGTATAATGATAATTATTGTCAATGGTATAATTTTCTTTATATTTATTATTATTAATTTATTACTATAATTATTATAGAAACGGCCAAAGCCGTCCATATGGCAAATACACCGAGAATAACATGGATGGCATAAGCCATCCCTATGGCAGTGAAAGTGTTAACAGAGATTCTACAAAATATATTAACCACATCTAAAACAACAATTTTCTTTTCAACAATAAATAAATATAAACAGTAAGTACAGTAGAAATAGAATTATAGCAAAATTTAATAGTGGACATATAGTTATATAAAATAATTTTGTTTGTTTTTGTTTTACTTCTTACATAGAACGTTTCAACACTGGAGGCTTATCTAAGACATTTAACTGCTTAATTTTTGTATTTTGTAAAATCCAACAGTTTTTTATGAAAAAGCTTATCATCATCATTTGCTGGAGAGAAAGAAATCAACAGAACTTCTTCATTAATTAGACCATTAGTAAATAACAAAAACTCTGTCTCAAACAGGAAAGACATCAATCATTTCTAAAATAAATCTTTATGATAATGATAATATACAAGAGTTTCTTTATCTGTAAATATATGGCAATTTTTTCATAAAATTTTCTATATAGTATTATCATAAACAAGAGCTGTCCGTAAGACAGCGCGCTCGACTTTTTTATTGCTTGCCAATAAAAAAAGTTTTTGCAGTAAAAGGCAATACAAGAATCTCTGTATTTTTAAAGTGAACTAGTTGTTTGATACCCTTGAATATTACAGCAATGTTTATATGACATAATTTATGGTAAAGTGAACAAGTGGATAGGAATGAATTTTTTTAGATTTTTTAAGTTTTTTAGTGCTTGCCTATAATACAAAACATTGACAGTTAAGGGCCATAATTCAAATAAAATCTTTGACAGAATTACCTTCTCCTGGACATGTTTGGGAATCATGATTGTAAACAAGTATTCCAACTTTCAAATTAATATCTCAAACACTTCAGTCAAAAAGTGGACTGGTACTAAAAACTTAACCAAGATTCTAAGTCGATAAAAGCCTTAATTTTTAAAACAAATCCTTGACAGAGTTACCTTCTCTTGCGTACAGATGGGGGTAATGATGTGAAATAGCATTAAAAGTTTCAAAGCAATATCTCAAAGGGTTAAGGCAATAAGTGGATTTTACCCATATTCAATGTATTTTCTAAGTCAAAAAGGGGCATAATTCTGTCAAAAACCTTGACAGAGTTATGTCCTCTTGTCTGTTGATGAAGGTCGTGATGGTAAACAGGTATGGTCAGTTTCAAAGCAATACCTCCAATGGTTTTGAAATAAAGTGAGGTGGTACAAAAAACTTAACCAAGCTCAATACACTTTCTAAGTCAAAAAAGGGCCATAATTCTGTCAAAAACCTTGACAGAGTTATGTACTCTTGTCTGTAGATGGAGGTTATGATGGTGAACAAGTATGGTAAGTTTCAAAGCCATACTTGTAATACTTCTGAAATAAAGTGGGGTGGTACGAAAAACTTAACCAAGGTGTGACGCCAACGCCGACGCCAACGCCGACGCCGGGGCGAGTAGGATAGCTCCCCTTTTCATAGAAAAGTCGAGCTAAAAATTATCAAAATTATCAAACTGTCATGACAAACTTTTACAATAATACTGAGAATAACTTAACTCAATAATCAAAATTCCATCAGTTTACACAAATCAATAAAAAAGAGATAACTTATATACTAAGAACACAAATTTAGTAGTATGTGGTCCTTTAACTAACCTGATAACAACAAAATTATTTATTTTCTGTATGAAATTGGTCACTTATAATAAATACAATAAATTAATGTACAATGTTCAAAGTTATAGAGTGTAACTGTTCTATATGTATTTATAGCAGTTTATATTTTGACCTTTGACCTATAAGTCATTGACCTATGACCTAGAGGTCGTCATCATCACTGCCCTCTAGGGGACCTCTCAGTAACTGTCAGTATTCTGTATCCATCCCGCTCCGTTCCTCAGGAAACTCGTGTATCACCGCTTTCCTTGTGAATCTGTTCTGTAGAGTCATCTAGGAATACAAAAATTATATATATATATATATTATATATTCCACCCTGAGTATCCTAAATGGACTCATCTATTTTTCAATCTGGACAAAACCATTTATCATTTTTAGGGAAAATTTTAAAATATATACAAATGGATTGGCCCATTTTTTAATCTGGACAAAACCATTGATCATTTTAGTTAAATTTTAAAATATGTACAAATGGAAGGGCTCATTTTTCAATCTGGACAAAAATATAACCATTCAGCATTTTTAGGTAAAATTTTAAAATATATACAAACGGATTTGCCCATTTACAATCTGGACAAAACCAATTATCGTTTTTAGGGATTTTTTTTTTTAAATAAATTCAAATGGATTGGCACATTTTTCAATCGGGAGAAACCATTTACTATTTTTAAGGAAGATTTTAAAATGTATACTGTCCGGATAGAGAACAGTGCAGACAGATGTACCGGCTGATGCATATGAACAAGGCAGTTAATTGTAAAAACTGCCTTTGTAATTTGGGCTCCATAAAAACAGCTTTTTATAATAGTCATTTAAAACAAACAAATACATATGCAATAAAATACAAAAAATAAAAAGAACCATGCAGAAATATGCAAACTAAGAGACAATCTAAAGCACTAAGACTATAGTTGTTAATAAACAGTTATTGTAAAGCAGTTGAAGCCTAACCTACAAAAATGTGATTGATGAATGAAATTCATCTTCAAGCTCAAAGCAAGATCAGCATTGATAAATCAAAAACTAATGCAAGCTTAAGCTGAATTTCTTTCTTTGAAACTTTTGTGTGGTACTTGTCAGAAATCAAATGTGAGTTGTATGTACTTAAAAATTATATAAAAATACAAAAAAAATCTTGAAATGACAATTATTTCCTACCGTCTGCTAACAAGCCAAGCATTTATATGACACTGATCATCTTAAAAGAGGCACATGCTGCTCTGTGTCAAGTAGATGCATGTTCCTAGATCTAAGTGGTATGGGAAACTCATGGACAACTTTTCGATTAGTGTGATGTGACCAGGCCATCTACAATTGTGTAATGTTAGTTATGTTAGATTTATTAGAAATAAGAATCACTAAAATATTTTGGGCTCTCATTTTCGTGGTTTTTCGTGAATAGATGTTTCAATGAATTTTTGTGGATAGGTGATTTCATGAATTTTTTATGCATATCTGATTCAATGGCTTTAAGATCCGGTAAAATTCTATTTCTTCTGTGGTATGATTATTTGGCATTACATTATTTGCATTTTAGTTTATTGCAAAAAATTGTCAATCTGCAAACTCAAAAACTGACGTAATGCAAAATGTCCTTTCTTAACAAAACCACGAAATTTCGTGCCCATGAAATTATGTGAATTCACAGTATATCATTAGTAGATAGAGAACATACAGCCAACACCACAAATAAGCTACATAACCTTTAACCTGCTTTGCCATTGGTGCTGCACTGGAAAGGCGATTATCTTTTGCTACCAGTGCTGCACCGAAAAGGTGATTAGCCTTTGCAACTAATGCTGCACCGAAAAGGCAATTAGCCTTTGCCACCAGTGCTGCACTGAAAAGGCAATTAGCCTTTGGCACCAGTGCTGCACCGAAAAGGTGATTAGCCTTTCCCACTAGTGCTACACCGTAAAGGCAAATAGTCTTTGCCACCAGTGCTACACCAAAGTGCTTGCACATCAGTGTAGTCTGACATGGCTCCAAACTGTTGGTAACAAAATTTTGGTATTTTGATATTGAAATCTGGAATGTTCCAAATGCAAAGCTTGGTGCCAGATCCATTACAATTACAAAGCATGTTAAGGGTCAATTAAAAATAAAATAAAAACAATATTAAGCTAAATTAGTAATGGTCAACATCTATGTTATTTTTTGGTAGGTTTTATGTAGCACCAACACACTAGAGGTACCATGGACACATTCCAGCTTTGCTGGTGGATGAAGTCTCAAGTACAGGAAGGAATAGGCACCTGAGTAGAAGAACAGAAATTCGAATAGCTAGCCTGATAGCCAACCAAGTATATTCTAATGATGGTAAAGTAAAAAGTTTTTACCACTGATAAACTAGCTACTGAGTATAAAAGAGGTCATACAAGAACTGTTGATAGGACAGCGAGCTTGACTATTTTCAGTGAATGATAGTAAAACAAGAGCCTGGGTGTAGAATTTTCAAAAAGGGCCATAATTCTGCTAAAATTCATGTAAGAGTTATGGTCCCTATTATGCTCTTGAATAATTACATGAAGTTTCAACCCATTCTCTTCAGTAGTTTTAAAGATATCAACTTGGATGCAAAAACTCAACCAAAGTATGACACTGACAATTGGGCGAGTACAATAGCTCCCTATTCTCCAAAAAGTCAAGCTAAAAATGCCATAAATAGCCGACAATCACTTCAAAATCCAATTAATTGGCAAACAAAATAACAAAACAAAAAACATTTCGTATCAACCATGCATCTTCTAATGATGGTTAACGTTTTTTCTCTGATAGTTCAACAGTTACTAGCTACTAGTTACTAGCTACTTATAAAATAGAGATGATAAAAATATAAACTTGTATAGTGAATAGTATATGACTGTATAACTATCTGCCCTTCAATATTGCTAGAAAGGATAGAACAAGAGCTGTCCGTAAGACAGCGCGCTCGACTTTTTTATTGCTTGCCAATAAAAAAAGTTTTTGCAGTAAAAGGCAATACAAGAATCTCTGTATTTTTAAAGTGAACAATGGCCATGAGCATTAAGATATTTAGTGAAGAATTATTTTATTATGACATAATTTATGGTAAAGTGAACAAGTGGATAGGAATGAATTTTTTTAGATTTTTTAAGTTTTTTAGTGCTTGCCTATAATACAAAACATTGACAGTTAAGGGCCATAATTCAAATAAAATCTTTGACAGAATTACCTTCTCCTGGACATGTTTGGGAATCATGATTGTAAACAAGTATTCGAACTTTCAAATTAATATCTCAAACAGTTCAGTCAAAAAGTGGACTGGTACTAAAAACTTAACCAAGATTCTAAGTCGATAAAAGGCCTTAATTTTTAAAACAAATCCTTGACAGAGTTACCTTCTCTTGCGTACAGATGGGGGTAATGATGTGAAATAGCATTAAAAGTTTCAAAGCAATATCTCAAAGGGTTAAGGCAATAAGTGGATTTTACCCATATTCAATGTATTTTCTAAGTCAAAAAGGGGCATAATTCTGTCAAAAACCTTGACAGAGTTATGTCCTCTTGTCTGTTGATGAAGGTCGTGATGGTAAACAAGTATGGTCAGTTTCAAAGCAATACCTCCAATGGTTTTGAAATAAAGTGAGGTGGTACAAAAAACTTAACCAAGCTCAATACACTTTCTAAGTCAAAAAAGGGCCATAATTCTGTCAAAAACCTTGACAGAGTTATGTACTCTTGTCTGTAGATGGAGGTTATGATGGTGAACAAGTATGGTAAGTTTCAAAGCCATACTTGTAATACTTCTGAAATAAAGTGGGGTGGTACGAAAAACTTAACCAAGGTGTGACGCCAACGCCAACGCCGACGCCGACGCCGGGGCGAGTAGGATAGCTCCCCTTTTCATAGAAAAGTCGAGCTAAAAACTGGAGAAATATTAGAAAAAGATTCAACTAAAGCTTTACATAAGATTACTTGAACAAGACAATATTTACAAATCAAGTTATACAAACAAACAACTGACCACACAATATTCAAACATGACTGGCATGCGTCTCACTACATTACTTTAAAGGGACTCGACTGAAGTTTTTTTGACATGAAACACTGCAATTTTTTTAAGAGATTTGAGTACCATTTGATGTACGTCTGGATCAATAACTTGTGTGCAAATTTTTAATAACATTCTCTCATTCGTTTTTTCTAGAATACTAATTTTTATTGTCCGAAAATGCTGCTATAAAATGAAAAAGTGTTGCAATGCTCTTTTCTCAAATCAGGCTCAGAATCTCATAAAAAATCGTCCAAGTATATATCATTCTTCATTATCCTATTCTATTTAGTTGCTTCACTCTATGCAAGAATTTTCAATTTTATGTTTTTAGGCTGTCTGACTTCAGTGGAGCTCCTTTAATATATAGATTAGATATGTTAGATTTGTTTGTTTTTAGTGAATATGCTATATATCACACTAAGAATATTATAATATCTTTATGATTGGGTAGTGCGAGTGAAAATAAATATGTGGGTATTTTCTCATAAAGAAACACAACTTGTTTTCACAAATTATCCATAGCATCAGATGTTTCTGTAGAACATGTGGGTTATTTCCCTATATGTTTGGTTTTAAATCTCACCAACTCTGTTATGGTCATATAGCAACTTAAAAGCTTTACTAGTTGAGGAAGAACTCAAATGCAACTTCATGCATTATTTTAAACATGAGGAGGCAACTGAGTAGAACCATCGACTTTCCACAAGCTTGCTTGGCAACGCTGGTGGTTCTACCCTGGTGCCCATTTGTGACTGAAATAACGTACAGAGTGTTATTTTGGTTTTAAGAGTAGTATTACATTAGATCTCTGACAGCCTGTTATGACTCAGAGCGTTACGATTATGGATGTATGTTATGTTTTACCGTACCTTGATTTGTGACGGTGTGAGTCTACGGAATGTCTCCCTGTCTAAGCCAAACACTATAGCATTTATAGCACCTGAAATATAACACAAACTTGTATCATTATAGTACTTGCTCCAAGTCTTACCAACATAAAATAGTTAAAATAATATACTCATTTTAGCTTGATTGTGTATCTTGTTATAAGTTTTCAGTCACACTCTCAAATTCATTCATGGCCTAGAAGTGATAGCCTATAGCTATTATTTGAGTTCTGTCTCAAATCTCAGGATTTTCATTGGCCAATATACATTCTGAGCTTATTTCTGACCAATCAAATAGCTGGGTTCTGAGTTTGTGTCTAGAACAATTCTTTATAACCTTGGACCCTGGTACTAATCTGAACTAAACAATGGGTAAATAGTTCCTAGCCCAAAATAGTTTGCCCTTGACAACGTTTAAACCCATGTGGCTACTATCATCTAAATTACTGGCCGAAAGTCTAACCACTCAGCCATTCATAAGATAATTGAAAAGGTTACATTCCAGATTTACCCATGGCAAGATCTAAGGCTTAACTTAATTCAATTATTTCAGCTTGATAGCTGTTGAATATATGCGTCAATAAAACTATAGTTGTTTATATTTATAATTGTTTACAATTATAGTAGTTAAAATAACAGCTGGTTGTGATTATGGTTGTTTACAATTATAGTTGTTTAAGATTATAGCTGTTTAAAATAGCTGGTCGAAATAATAGTTGTTTTGTGATTAAAATTGTTCATAGTTATAGTTGTTTACAATTATGGTTGGTTATGATTATTGCTGTTTACGATTATTGATGTTTAAGAAATTATACTTGCTTACGATTGTAAAAATGTTTACCTTGTGATGGTGATGAAATCGAGGCTAACAGAACCAGAGCAAACACGGGGTGACCACTGTGAACAGCATTCTGTATCCTGTAATATATAAATGAGCCACGTCACGACAAAACCAACATAATGGGTTTGCGACCAGCATGGATCCAGACCAGCCTGCGCATCCGCGCAGTCTGATCAGGATCCATGCTGTTCGCTTACAAACCCTATAACAAGTAGAGAAACTGATAGCGAAAAGCATGGATCCTGATCAGACTGCGTGGATGCGCAGGCTGGTCTGGATCCATGCTGGTCGCAAACGCATTATGTTGGTTTTGTCGTGACACGCTCAAATCATTATCAATATTACACCAGTCACCTTCATTATGTAACAAAAAAAGGTAAGAATACAATAAAGATTATAGAGTGGTGATGAAACTTCACTGATTGGAAATTTCGGGTATGTAAATGCACTAGTTGGACTTCATCCCAACAAAAAATGCCTTATGCTACTACAGACCTTTGAGGTCAAGTCACTGACTTCAAAACACTTGCCTCTCACCTTATGTGATTGTGGAAATAAAAACATGCACGCTTAACATTATCCAGGTGTTTTTTTGTTTGTTCAAAATAAAAGAAAAAACTTCAATATTAAATACAATTCGAGATAATGTTTCTGAACCTGAAGGCAAGTGGGAAATTTCTGATAAATAATGTTAAATGGTAGCCTATATATAGTAATTCTAAAAATTGTTATCATGTCTTATGCCAATGTCATTATTCTTGAAATATTTATGTTAAATTCAAATCAGGAAAAACATTATCTTTCTAAAATAGGAATAAATATTCTTACAATAAAATTCTGATCATATCAAAAAGCATATAAATTTGAACAGTTTGTTGATTGTCTACTTGTTTGATTTAAACACATTTCTGGGCGATCAGTCCACTTATCCAGCTTTCCTAGACAACTAGCAAGTTATTATGATGGCTGACTTGTGCAATATGTTGTGTACTTTCACACCACTTTGTTGTATTTTGTATATTTCTACATTGTTGCCCCACGGAGCAAAAGTTTGACAAAATGGTGTATTATCATTTCCACCCCAAAAGTACGAAAAAATGTTGACTTTGCTGTATTTTCATGTTTTTTGCCTATGCACAAATAAGTTACCATAAGTAATAGTCAATTACTCTGCCAATGACCAACTACTAATGCTACAAGATTTTTTTTAATCTGCAGCGAGATTCCAATGACTATTACACACAATGAGTCTAAGATCAAATTGAATAGTAAACAGTAAAATTACCTGTTAATCAAAGGGAAGAGAGAAGTTGCGAGGTAGACAAAAGGGTACGCCATTAGGGGCTTGATGTCCTCCTTCAGCATTGACTGTATAATAAAACAATAAATAATATAATTTATTGTATATACTTATCAAAGGACATAGCATGTTTTTGTTTTTTTTCAAAATCAAAATAGCTTATACATGTACTGTCATAATGTCATGTTATCATCATTATTAAAGTGACATTATGCTTATTTTTTCATTGTCAAGTTGAGCTGAATCTATTATATATATTTCAAAAGATAAACTGTTGTATAACGGTGTCACTGGAAAATGTTTAGGTTAAAATATAAATCTTATGTTACAGTGTTACCCTGATGTAAGACAAGCTTATATTTTAGTTATTTTCCTCATGCTTTACATTACAAGTTAATTTATTTTGTTTACCTTTTTCCTCTCAGTATCTGGATCATATGTGCCTTCCCATGTTGCTGCCTGAATTATAAAATAATATACGTTACATAATAATATACATTGCACTTTCAATATAGAACATACATGTACATACCTAGGTTAAAGCAGCACCCCTCCAGATTCATGTTAATTTTTATGAAAATTTTGGAAATGTATAAAAGAAAAATATTGTGAGATAAGCAAAAAAAGCAATTTACATATAGCAATAGGCACTTACCATCCAAGAAAACTACCAAAATATTGTCATCAAAAACAGCCCTTACTGTGCTAGTAACGCAGTAGAAATATGGTGATAAAAACTGCAAAAACCCCGACATCTCCGGATGTTACTGCAAAAAAAAATTGTCTCGGCCTAACCGCCTCACCATTTTTTTTAGCAGAAACACCCCTTGATGTTGCCCAAGCCAGTGTAATATCCTCGTAACTAACTCGTTTCATGTACTATAACTATTGCTTAAAATAATAAAATGTTAATACACTTTTCCATATAAAATTGGTATATTTTACCTTTCTGCTGAGGACACAAGATATGTAGATGTAGGCTACAACCATGATAAACAACATGCCAAATAGTGGACCATACCAGCTGTAATATAATATCATCTATTATATACCTACATGTATAAGTTCCTGATGATGATACAATCATTTTTTTAACTGTAGAAATAAATACAGCCCAATTTGTTGTTTTTTTTGTTTTTTTTTGTTCGTTTTTTTTTTTGTATTCCATTTCTAAAACCTTGTTTTGCTCAAATCTGTACATCACTAATGCTCACTGATATTTATTTCATACAGATATTTGTAAAGAAAACTAAATTCTTTTCGTTTTGTTCAGATGTTATTTACACATTTTACATAAGGTGTATTTTTAAAGCAAAAGAAGAAAAGAAAAATTGCTCAAATTGTTAAATCACAAATGCCCACGTATGTTTATTTTGTACAGATATTTGTTAAGAAAATTATATTCCTTTTGTTTGGTTTAGATTTCATTTACACATTTAATTTAACAGAAGGTGTATTTTAAAGCAAAAAAAAAAAAAAAAACAAAAAAAAAACAACAAAAAAACAATAATAAAAAAAAAACGAGTGTATAACTCTATATGCTCTTCAGATTACAACTTTACATAATCAAGTCAAGTGCTATAGAACCCATAAGTAAAAGCACACTTGCAATATTCCTATCAATTAATACACTTAATCTTATCTGTTTCTTAAATTCCCCTCCTAGTCCTTTTTAGTCATGCAACCACCATGACAACAGCCTTCATTATAACAACAATGAATCTGGTCAACAACATTCAGCCTATATAATAATAAAGCCAGTTATGTCATGTAAAATCACCTGTTTATCAAAGAAAGCCCAATTCATATAATTATTCATTAACAGGCATCAATTCTAATACACTTGAATCCTTTTTTGGTAAACTTTTTTCCCCCCTAAATTCTTTTTTCAATCCAGATCAGCTACACTGTCAACTATTTTAATGAAAAAGTCTGAAGAAATAATTCATTTATTAAGATTGATTTTAAAGTCACAAAGACACAATATAATTATGTCATAGGAGCACTTTCTGGCATTACTGGTAGAAAAAGGCTGTAGGTGCCCCCCCCCCCCCTCAATGTTTATTTCTGGCACAATTGGGCATAACAATTTCTTTTTCCAAATAAATATTAAATTATATTTCAGAATATACTTACACACCAACTCTCCACCTCCAATTATCTTTAATCCAACTGAAAAATACAGTGTTATACATAAATTCCAAACCAAAATACAAACTTTAAACCCTTTTGCTAAAGTTTTTTTTCCACTAGTATAAAATAAGGCCAGCCAGCATTGCCAACCAGGCTCTATACTGTTGGTAGCTCTAATTTTGTATTAAAGTACTGAATTCCCTCATAATTTCAATCAACTATTCCAAATTCAAAGCAAGGCAGATACTTTATAAATGTGAAATAATTTGTCGTAAAATTAGCAAAATGTTTACAAAGTAGTATTTTAACTATATTAACTATATAAAATGCAAAAAGCAACATACGAAAAAAATAGTTCAGGTAATTGGCCAATGAGTAATTTTTTAGATACTATAAAAGTACACCAAAATTAACAAGAGCACCGCTAGGCGGAGCATTATATGCCCGAAAGTGATTTTTTTTTAGTTAAGATGAAGAATTTGTAAGACAAAGTATTACCTCCTTCAAACTAGAACTCCGCAAGTCGGATGTGTCGCCTTGTGAACAATGTAGTTTAGGAGAAATGGTCAGGACAAAAATGAAATAGGAAAAATAACAAAGGGCCATAACTAAAAAAATAATAAGTGTAGAGCAGCAGTTTCTGTGCACTGCACTTCTTATCAATAAGATCTATCATTCTATGATGTTTCAAGTCCATAGCTTTCATACTTGAAGAGAATTGACCAGGACAAAAATAAAGTAAGAAAATCAACAAAGGGCAATAACTCAAAAAATAAGAAATGCAGAGTATCAGTTCTTATGCACTGCACTTTTTCTTAATCAGATCTATCATCCTATGAAGTTTCAAGTCCATAACTTTTATACTTTCGGAGAAATGGCCTGGACAAAAATTAAGTATGAAAATTAACAAAGGGCCATAACTCAAAAATTAAGAAATGCAGAGTACCGATTCTTGTGCACTTCACTTCTTCTTAATGAGATCTATCATCCTATAAAGTTTCAAGTCCATAACTTTTATACTTAAGGAGAAATGGCCCGGACAAAATTAAAGTATGAAAATAAACAAAGGGCAATAACTCAAAAATAAGAAATGCAGAGTACCTGTTCTTGTGCACTGCACTTCTTCTTAATGAGACCTATCATCCTATGAAGTTTCAAGTCCATGACTTTTATACATTAGGAGAAATGGCCCGGACAAAAATAAAGTATGAAAATTAACAAAGGGCAATAACTCAAAAATTAGGAAGTGCAGAGTACCGGTTCTTGTGCACTGCACTTCTTCTTAATCAGATCTATCATTCTATGAAGTTTCAAGTCCATTGCTTTTTTAGTTGAAGAGAAATTGCCCGGACAAAATTAAAGTATGAAAATTAACAAAGGGCAATAACTCAAAAAATAAGAACTGCAGAGTACCGGTCCTTGTGCACTGCACTTCGGGATATTGAAAGAAGCATGCATACCTAGTTTGAAGTCAATCAGACTTATAGTGACTGAGTTATGCTCCGGACAAGCTTTAGGGGACGCCGACAACGATGCCGACAACGACACAGACGCCGCCGACACCGCCAACAAAAGTAACCCCTATATGTCACCTTTTCAAGGCGACACAATAACAGTCCTCCTTTGAAGTTTCAATATTGTGGTCCAAATGGAACTTAACTTATGCCCCAAAAACTATTTTCAATTCGAAGGTAATATTAACATTGACCTTGTGACCCCAAAATCATTAGGGGTCTTCTTCCTAATTAGGATTATCATACTATGAAGTTTAAACACAGTAGGACAAATGGAACTTAAGTTATGCTCCAAAAACTGTTTTCAGTTTTAAGGTAATAGTGACCTTGACCTTGTGACCCCAAAATCAATAGGGGTCTTCTACCAAATATGGACAATCATCCAATGAAGTTTGAACACTGTGGGCCAAATGGAACTTAAGTTATGCTCCAGAAACTGTTTTTTCAATATCTCAGTAATAGTGACCTTGACCTTTGACCCTGTGACCCCAAAATCAATAGGGGTCTTCTACCAAAGATGAACAATCATCCTATGAAGTTTGAACACTGTGGGCCAAATGGAATTTAAGTTATGCTCCGGAAACTGTTTTCAGTTCTAAGGTAATAGTGACCTTGACCTTTGAACTTGTGACCCCAAAATCAATAGGGGTCTTCTACCCAATATGGACAATCATCCTATGAAGTTTGAACACTGTGGGCCAAATTGAACTTAAGTTATGCTCCGGAAACTGTTTTCACTTCTAAGGTCATAGTGACCTTGACCTTTGACCTTGTGACCCCAAAATCAATAGGGGTCTTCTACCCAATATGGACAATCATCCTATGAAGTTTGAACACTGTAGGCCAAATGGAACTTATGTTATTCTCCGGAAACTGTTTTCAGTTTTAAGGTCATAGTGACCTTGACCTTTGACCTTATGACCCCAAAATCAATAGGGGTCTTCTACCTTATATGGGCAATCATCCTATGAAGTTTGAATATTGTGGGCCAAATGGAACTTAAGTTATGCTCCGGAAACCAAATTGCTAACAGACGTACGGACGGACAGACGGACGGACGCCAGGGGGTATAACATAATATGTCCGAAATTCTTTCGGGCATATAAAAAGCTTTTGAGAAATAAGAATAAAGAACTTTTGAGACATAATGGGCCTTTAACTTACCACCAAGCACCTGCAGGACCATAATGGTTCCCGATAAACGGCAGCAGTGACATGAATAGAGAAACTCCCCAACTTACAAGATGGTACAACCTAATATAATTATAAGCCAATTAATTAATTATAAATTTTCAATAAATTATAATAAATCATTAAAATGTATCAAATTCAATAATAAATTGGCAATATCTAATAATTTTTAAATATCACCCAATACAAAAAATTCTACAATATTGTTCAGTGTTTTTTCTCACTTAATTGAGAAGAGACCTAAGCATCCTGATTTTAGCATAACCCGTTCCATATTAAAAGGTCACCATGAACCTTTACTTGTGGTAACCTAAAAACCCAAGTTAACTTACATTCTAACTTAAAAATTAATCTGTTAAAATAAAACACTTTCAATTACCATTCATATTTTTCTGTGGTTTTGCCCCAAACAACGTTGATAAATAAGTTCAGTGTAATACAACTGACCCATAGTAACACCGACCAATCTGAAATTATATAACACAAAAACTGCAGCTCATTAAAGGAACTCCACTGAGTAAAAAAAGCCTAAAAATATAAAATCTATTTTTTTTCCACATAAATCAAATAAAGCACTTAAATTGGAAAAAATCTGCTAAGGATAATGAAGAAATTCACTCAGAATTAAATTTAAAATTGATAGTAAGTGCAATTATTAGATCAGTTTGAGTGAAAAGTGGTGCAGCTCTTTTAATTTTGGGGTCATTTTGCACAATGAAAAGGATTATTTTGGGAAAATGAGAGAATGATCAGAAGTTATTGGTTCAGACCTACATCAAATAATACAAAAATTTAGGAAAAAATATTTCACGTTCCGTCATGTCAAAATCTCATCAGAATCCCTTTTTCTAAGTGGATTGGTCTATGATTGGCACATTTTCCTTAAAGTATTTCAAGAATTATTACAACAGGTATCATTTGGATCTATTTATAAAATATTTCTTTTAAAACAAATGGCAAGTAATTTAGTATGAACATTTATAATGTGTTGATGAATAATAAAATTTCATTCAAGAAAACTTTATTATCTGCCATAATAAAATTATAGTGCTAAGTCGAGTTACTCCCCTTGCAAAAGTCGCTTTGCACGGCTTATATACCTTAACGGGAGACGCTAAATCATGGTCGTTGTACGGATTAGACAGGGAGTTGCTACATACAGACCATTTATATAGTAAATACTGTTTGGCTCACCTAACTATGGTCAGTAAAGACAGGACGTTGCTATATACAGGGGGTCACTAAGACAGTCTTTACTGTATTTCTTCTAAGTACATGAATTTACTAAATAAGAAAATAACAAACCAAAGAAAGACATCCAAAAAGCTTGGAAATCACACAATGGTCCATCTGGGTGAAGTTCTCCCTGTAAAATACAATACAATAATATGATGACACCAGTACATCATTTATATGACAAATGTTTAGCAAATTAAACAGTTTTTATGCTGATAATTATATAAGAAATAATATGTGTTTAATCATGATTTGGTGTGGCAATTTTGTGATATTTTTAGAGCAAGAATGTGCTTTTAGTTTACCACTCAAATGTTTTTTTATATTCTTTGGTTCGGTTTGAAGTCACACAAGACACACATACACTCTAAGGGTCATATGGTGACTTTCAAGCTCACCTGGTTCAGGTAGACCTCAGGAGCCCTTAAGATTATTTTTTAGGTACAAGCAAGTTACCTGAAAAGACCACCAACCGTCTGTTAGCTTGCTAAACAGCTTCCTCATAGGAATTAATCAAAATCAATATATTTCTACATTCATAAATGATAGAAGATATCAAAAATTTAAATGACATTCTTACACAGACGTCTTTTCTATTTGTGTTCTTATTTAAAAATAATTATATTATTACCATCAAATATGAGATGCTGATGTTTAAAGCTGCAAAACTCATGTACAGTATCAGTCTCTGAAAAAATAATAATAAAAAAACAAAATATAACAATAACAACCTTTGACTAACAAACTGTCAAGTATGAAAACAGGAAACCTAACAAGTAACAATAAACATAAACATGAATACCTGGACCTTGCATGTATCTTTCTAAAAATTCAGTAAATGGCTGAGAGCAAGGACCCAGTGTTGTTCTGAAATGATAATTCAATCAAGTCAATCTACCGGCTTATAGTTTAATAATACTTGATTGCATATATACCCGGTACATCGTTTTTAAATAAACATTTCTACAAAATATATTTAAGGGTTGGCAACATTATTAGAGTTTTCTGACTACAGTGCAACCTCTGTAGACTAGCCCCTTGTAAAGTAATAACAACAAGGTTGTACTGTATCTACATGTAACAGGAGATACACAAGACCAACCCTATCATGTACTTGAGATATAAGGACTATTAAGAAGAGGAAATCACAAACCTGTGAAAATGCAATGTATTTCCTGAACAGCCATATAACCAGGATGATAAATATGCTGAAAAAAAATTATCATTTGAAACAATACATATTAAATCATATTGGAGTAAATTCAAACATGCAAATTACTCTTTGTCAGTTACATGGCAAGAGAGTTAATTCAGGAATGTATGGCACAAGTTTTTCATCATGAATATTATTTATCATCGGAAACTTCTTGAAAATATTCACATTTCAGATAAAATATTTCATCTGAAATCAACTACTTATGTACTGTACCCCATATTGTAACCACAAGTTATAAAATAACAGTCCCAAACCAGTCAATTTTAACTTGATATGGTCTGTTCTATTTAATTCAAAGCAGAAAGTCCACTCTATAAATTCAGCATGGTAACAGATAAATTAAGGTAAGTCTTGTTATGATTTATATGATTTTTGAAAACTTAACTCACCAGCCTATGAGGGATATGGAAGCAAATACTCTCCTCACATTTATAATGATGGTCTGAAATACACATTATATGATTATTACATACAAGTAAGAACTTTTTTGATATTTAATACAGTATTAAATTATAAATATTTTTTAAACCAGTAAGTATTAATTACAGAAAAGTTTGATGCTTATCAAACTTTTCCAGCAGCAGATAATTTTTTCGTGTCCAAATACATGAATGATCAGATGATATTAAAGGTGTTTGGACTTTACATGGATATTTCAACCCTGGACGTCAATGGAAATTTTTGCCTTAAGTTTAAGAATTTGCGTAAGTATGTTAGTGAAACGGTACCCTGGTCTTTTCACCTCCACTTTTTAAATTTGATAAATATATCTAATAAATACCATTATGGGTAATAATATTATATATAATAACACATACTTGCAAACAATTACATTCATGATACAAAGAAGATTTTTTTGACATAAATATAGTGTAATTTCCCTTGGAAAATTATTATAAATATGAGTTCTGAAAGAATTATCAGCTATAAGTCTACATGTATATATTATTTCATTTTTTTTGTTATCCAAAAATTAAATACCATAAAAAAATATTGATTAATTAAAATATGTTTTATATAACAGATATGAACAATTATTAAACAGTTCAACGTTCTGTTGTGAATGCAGGAAATGATTTAGTGGTCCTAGACCTACCGGACTGCATGCGCATGCGCGACGGTTTTCGCGGGACTGAAAAAGTACCCGGATAGTTCTAGGACTGAGTAAATGGAGTTCTGCGTTGGCTGGCGAAGTGGCAACATCGAGATCAAGCTTTGGTAAGCTCCCGGCCTGTTTTCCCTTCTTTAGGCTATGATTTAAGGAAATACAACATTGGCGACGAGGATTAAAACTGGATAGCAGGGCAGTGACTTTTGCATGTCATAAACGTCGTTCATTTGTAGTCAATTTTCGCGACATTCTGGACCGTTGCATAAATTGGAAAATTGACTTTGACATTCAGTTGACATTGTGAAATAACCACTCGACGATAGCCTAAAGGTTGATGTACTAGTATTTTTTGATTTTGTGGCTTCTAGCTTTTATTTAAAAAATACTTGGTCAACATAAAGTTTGGGAAACTGCAGAATGGTATGCTTTTCATAAATAAATAATTCCACTCTAAATTCATAGTAAAGCACGCCCAGTATTGTCTTTTTATTTACTTTAGCCCTTTTCAGAAACGACTTTGAAGATATTAGAGACAGTAACAGCATACAGACAGTGTGAAAGGTATACAAGTTATCTACCTTGAATATTTTATTTCAGTTGTTTACAAGTGTACCAGGATCACCAAATAAATTATTTCTTGTATTCTATATCAGAAATAATTGCGAAAAATTAATTTATTGTACATTTGTTCAGAGATAGTTTACAGAATTTCACATAAATTTTTGGTTTATTTCTTGAATGTGAAGTAAAATAAATTAAAGCAGCTGTGTCAAAGTAAAGTCTATATTATTTAAAGGAGCTGTCTCAAGTATTCAATAAAGACTTTTTATTTAAAGAACCTGTCTCATATAAGTCGATTAAATTTTTTAAAGTAACTTTTTAATTAATATTCGGTGTATTCTATACTCGAATAAGTAAATTAGTGGAATTTATTTTTTAAAAGCTACTTTTACATATATATTCGGTGTATTCTATACTCGAATAAATAAGCTTGGATCAATTTTCAATTGTATTCTATACATTGAAAATTTGTGATTACATTGTGTTCGCAATACATTGACTGACTTAAGTTACCATCATGTCAACATTTAATGTAAACACAATGACTAAAGAGGAGTTGATGAAATTGCCAGCTATTGGTGCGAAAAGGGCAACAAGTATAGTCCAGTTTCGACAAAATGAATGGCAAGTTGACGAAAGATGATTTCATCACCATAATGGCAGGTCATCTTAACCCAGATATGTTGAAATACATTGATTTTTTCAACACCGGTATCAACTCCGAGTACAATATCTTCAAAGGGGGGGGGAAGTGGAAGTGTTGCTGTGACATTTACCACAAGTACCACGCCTGTTGCAGTAGTTTGCAAGCCAATTCATGTTGGTAGCAGTGCTACAACAAAAAATTACAGTAAGTAGTACAAGTACGCCTACTGTAACTAAAGGATCTAGACTTGCAGCTGGATTTACCTTGCGAACGCCAGTTACTAAAGCAGTTTCGAAGGTAATGACTACATCAACTACAACCAGCAGCGTGAAAACCAAGGTAATTACAGTTCCGGTTACCAAAATAACAACTGCTGTGACGGTTGCAGCTAGTAGCACATACACTACAGTGAGTGCAACCGGTGCAACACCAATTATGTCAGCCCCTACATCTTTAACAATACCAGAGATGGAGGCACCACAAGATACGCCACACATTGAAGATGTTTTGACTCAACTTCTTTCCTTAAGTCAGGGTATGACTAGAAGAGATTTAATAGACTTGATATCTGCATTACCAGAAGCAAATGCAAGTGATACGGATGAAGATTCTATTGCAATAGATACACCTTGTACTTATAGTACAGGTTATATGCACTATCAAATGGATCCTTGCAATACAGGTATACTTGGTTCTTCTAGAACAAGGTTTACAAGTACGGTAGATGATGTCAAGCCTAAATATTTCAGTAACAGTGCATCCAGGTCATACAACACTAAATTGGACACAAGGTATGGCAACCCTAAATGTATATCTCCTAAGAAAGAATATACATCTGCTACTTATGTATATGGAGATACACAACAACAGTCGAGGTCAACTAAAGGGTCTTCTAGACATTTAGATAGATATGAATGCCAGAAGAAAGGTTCAAGAAGAGACCATCGAAGTTACCATACCAGATCAGAAATGTCAAGTGAAAGTAGCGATAATAGTAGAAGCAGATCAAATGGTAGAAGAGATGTTCAGTCCAGATACAGTAGTGATGGTAGAAAGAATCGGGACAAGATTGGTTACAACAATCGGTCTTCTTCTAGAAACCGTTTGTCGAGAGATGACAAGTACAGTCGTAGATCACGGTCGTCTTCTAGACACCAAAGATCAAAATCCAGAAGTCCGAGCTTTTCAAGGTCAAGATCATACAGATATAGGAATAAATCTTCAAGCAGCAGCAGTAGCTCGAGATCTCGATCAAGAGGCTATGGTCATTCAGGGTCAAGACGTCATAAGTACGGGTCCATGATAAGTATTGCAAGCCATCTAGACGACATGACAGAAGTCGCTCTTCGAGTTATTCTGATCGAAGCAAGTTAGAAAAAAGAGGGGTAACCCGAAGGAACTTCCAAGTATTTTGCGGTATGATGGGAAGACAAGCTGGTTATCTTTTAAAGAACAATTTGAAAAGTTATCGAGCTGTTTCGAACTGGACTGACAGTGAAAGTAAAGATTACCTTACTTGGAGTCTTCAAGGTAAAGCGTTAGATTTCTTCACGATAACAAATAAAGCGGGCATTGCTATTCATATAAGCAAATGATGAAGAAATTAGAGACCAGATTCGGCGACCAGGAACTTACCGAGACGTCACGTGTTAAGTTCCAGCAGGCTAGACAAGCATCAGATGAATCTTTAGATGATTGGGCAGATCGAGTGCTGACACTTTCGACATATGCATTTAAGGATCTACCCGAAGAATACAGAATGCGAGAGGCAATTTCGAAGTTTTGCCAAGGATGTATTGATAGAGAAGCAGGAAAGCATGCATGTTTCGAACATCCTAGGAGTATACAGGCTGCACTTAACGCTGTGAAGCATCACCAGTATATCTCTGAGGCAGTTGATGGCAAAAAGCATTCTAGAAGATCTAAAAGATGATGTGTCAATTAATGCAGTAAATACATCAGCTGAAGCCAGGGTGGAACAATTGCTGAACAAAGCTATGGAACAGCTTAGCAGTAAAATTCAGCAATTGACTACAACCAATAAAGAAATTGAATCTAGGACAGGAAGAGGGCTATCATGTTTTTTTTGCAAACAAAGGGGCCACATTAAGAAAGACTGTCCAGGATTTAAAGAATGGTTGAAGAAAAAGGGGCTATCTAACACTACGGAACAACAACGAAATCCAGCAAATCGTGATTTAAACAAGAAAGGGCTGAATGGAATGGCAACCGTTCAAGCCCCGCAGAAGTAACTGGTCAAAATGGTAAAGATTCTGCGACTTCTAGTCCGGAAGCTGATGTCATCTGTGAAGAACAACCAGTTACAGATCACGAAGATGTTATTAGCCTTCGTAAAAGGTGACAAGACTTCTAGTCAAGGTCATCAAAGATCATCGTTAAACACCCTATAGTTACTGCAACAATTAAATCTGATGAAAAAGACCATACAGATGGCCCATGACTTCTAGTCATGTTAATGAAAAGTGAAGATATTTTTGAAAGATGGTAATACAGTCAAATTAAATTTAGGTATCCAAGAAACACAGAATGACGGAATTGTCAGCGTTCATCAAGTGCGAGCTGGTTCTTCTTTTGTGTTACTGACCGTCGGTGATCAAGAAGTCAAAGCAAGAATTGACTCTGGTGCTGAAATTACCAATACTCTCTTCAAAAAGTCTTCGCTACCTTGAGCAAAAAAGCCTGCAAAAGTAAAAGATGTAGTTATGCAAATGGCAGATCAAGAAGCAGTACTAAAAGGCTTTATCACTAAACCATTAAGATTGCAAACTTGGATCTCAAGTATTTTCATGAAAGAGTTTATGTTGCACCTAATTAGTGATGAAATGCTGCTTGGACATGATATAATGCATCATTTAGGGGTTATGATGGATATGCATTCAGACACTTTAATTGTGAATGGTGAGCAGATTCCCATGAATACAAGCTTTAGAGAGGGAAAGCTGACTATTGCAAGAGTTACAGTGGCAAAACGTACTGTGGTTCCGCCAAATTCAGTTGTTCGTATGTCATGCAGTCTCAACACACATCTGAGTGACTATTTTATAGAACCAGATGAAAAGTTGAATACAGTTGGTATATTGATGCCAAGGACATTGATGTCTTCAGATACGGAGCCAATTGTTTGTTTAGTCAATCCAACTGACTCTTACAAGACATTCAAGAAGGGTAAAGTGATTGCAAATGCATATGAAGTAGAACATATCCTAGATGAGCAAAGCGAAATAGCTACATCTCTGCCTAAAGAAAATGAAGTGACTTTCTAGTCATTCTAAAACAACATCGTCTAAATCTCGAAGGATTTCTAGTTCTACGAGAATCATTAAGAGAACTCCAACAAAGTAAGTTCCAGTCATCTGCTAAAGTTGTATCAAAGAGTTTAAGAAGTTAGCTAAAACCCCCCTTTACGATTATGAAGATGTTTTTTCGGGTTAAAGTTTTATTTCGGGAAAATTTGGGGGAAAGTTCCCTTTACTACAAATAAAGGGGATACCATAAGGGAAACCGGGGGATGCCAAAAAACCCCTAAAACAAACCCCCAAAAGAGGCGCCCCAAAACCAAAGCTTTTTTTTTTGTTTTGGGGGAAGGAAAGAAAAGGGGGGCATCTGAAAAAAAATGGGTGGAAATTGGGCCGGGTGGTCATACAGGAAAAGTCCCGTATTTTTTACGAGGCCCCCTTTTTTTTCCATTTTTTTGGGTTTTGATCAAAAAAGCGGACGGGGGTCTGGGGAAGGGTGGTTTTTATTAAGGGAATTTAAAACCAAAAGCCATTTAAATATTACGGTTAAAGATTTTTTTTTTTTCCCTTACCAATTTTGGTGGAAAAAATTTGTTAAGATCTTGTCCGGGGAACCGCAAACTGGGTTTTTCTTAAAAAGATTTTCAAAACTCCCCGCGTTTTTTTTGGCAAGTAAATTAAAAGTGGTTTAAGAACCCCGAAAAAGAAAAACAAAACGTTTTCTAAAAATTTTTCCGGTTTTTTGTTTGACCCTGGTTTTTGAAGGGGGTTCTGGTCTGAAACCAAATGCACCCAAACCCCATTTTTCCGAGTTGAATTTTTAATTTTGGAAAATTTTGGGGTGGGGAACTTTAACCTTTGGGGAAAAACCGGTACTGGCATTCTTTAGAAAAAGGAAAAATTTATTGGTGGCCTGGGAAGGAATTTGGGACCCCAACCTGGGAAATATTGGCCCGAAAGGCCCCTTTTGAAAGATTTTTCCGCCAACCCCAATTTTGGGTTTTTTGGAAAGGGTTTTAAAAACCAAGGAAAAAATGTGTTTTTTCCAAAAAAGAAGTTTTTTTAAATTTCCCGGAAAAAACCCAAAGGGGGTTTTGGGTTTTTGGGGGAAAAAATGGCCAAAAGAACCTTTCCCGAGGAATACTTTTTAAACCCCCGTACCCAAATGGCCAATGTTTTCCCAAAAGTCATTTTCCAAAAAAAATGTTTTGAAAAGGTTTTTAGGCTTAGCCCTTACATCCCGGGCATTTGTCAAGGAACTTTTCGGGATATAGCCCAACTGCCTTTAATTACAAACTTTAACCAGGGAAAAGAAATGAATTTTAAATTTTGGAGGGGGTTTAAAAAAAACCCAAGGAAAAACATTCCCCAATACCCTTTAAAAGGGGTTTTGCTTTTTTTATCCACCCCCCGTTTTAGCTTTTTACCCAAAAACAAGAAGTTCTTTTTTATTTAGAAAATTCCCCATGTTCGGAATTTTCGGCTATTTTTTGGGGCAGAATTGTTAGGTTTCAAAAATGGGGGAAGGGGAAAGTCCAAATTTCTTAATTAAGGGAGCTTTTTCCCTTACTCCAGAAAAAAAGAAACCTTTTTTTGCAGCCCCAACAAAAAAAAACCTTTTGGCCCTTTGGGTTGGAGGTTCCGAGGGGGTTTTGGCTTACCTTTTAGGGAAAAGGTTCCCCCTTCCAATGGGTTTAAACGATCCCCTTTTTTCCAAAAATTTGACCCCCGGTTTTTTTAAATTTAAGGAAACCCAACCCGGGTTTAGCTTTTTGGCCCCGATTTGGGTTAAAAAGAAATTTTAACATTTAAAAACATGGGTTTGTTAAACAAAACGAGCCTGGTCGAAAACACGGAATTTTTCCGGGACGCGGGTGTCGAATTTTTTTGGGAAAACCCCTTTGACAAAACCCCTGGGGAAATCTTTTTTAGCTTTTACCATAAAGCTTGGGAGAAAATTTCCATGTGGTGGGATTTTTTCCTTACCCCCATTAGGGGCTTTTCCCAAAACCAAAAGGGCCCAAAAATTTATTGTTTTATTTAATTTGACGACTTTAGTAAAAGAATTTGGCCCCCCAGGGTTTAAAAAACCGGACCCAAAAATTTCCAAATTCAAAAAATTTTAAACCGGTTCATTTGGGGGGCAAAAACTGCAGAACTGTGGGGGTTTCCCAAGGTCTTGGAAAGATTTTAGCAAAGGGGATTTTTGGATCAAGGGTTTCCAATGAAAGGAAACCCGACTTGAAAAACATCATGCCCGAAAAGAGATGGCCCCCGGAATTTTTTAAAGAATTAAAATTTCCCCTTTTAAGGGGAAAAAGGGAGTTTTTTATGATGAAAAAGAACCAGTTTCAGTTTTTAGATTGTTAACTTTTCCCCATTAACCGGGAAAAGGATCGGTTGTCTAGGGCCTTTTTTTAATTTTCCGGGGCTGGGTGGTTTTGTGAAAATAAAGTTCCCCGGTTTGGCTTCTAAACCCTTTTGAGAAGCCTTTTACCCCGCAAACCCCCCAAATTTTTACCCAAGAGGAAAATTTAAATCCTTCCTTTTACCCAAAACCTAAAATTAATTTTAGGGTTAAATTAAACCCCGGGGATGTGGAAAATTTAAATTCACAAAAATTTTAAAGGGAAACGAGCTTCTTTTTCTTTAATGGGTTTTCATTCCCCCGGGAAAATTTTTCTTCCCCAAAACCCAAGCCTTCATTTATAAAAGTTGGGGGGTGGGTTGTGAAAACAAGGGAAAAAAGAAATTTAGTTTTGGGGCTTTTGACCCCGGACTGCCAAAATGCCGGCCCATGGCCGATCGGTTTTGTCCGGGGGACTGAAAAAGTACCGGATTTAGTTCTAGGAAACTGAGTAAATGGAGTTCTGCGTTGGCTGGCGAAGTTTTTGGCAAATCGCCGAGATCAAGCTTTGGTAAGCTCCCGGGCCTGTTTCCCTTCTTTAGGCTATGATTTAAGGAAATACAACAGTTCATATATTTACAGAACTGTGAAAAAAATGCATTGCTGTGACTAATTTCTATATTTGGTTTGTTTGTAAATTATGAAAGGAAAATAATTTGTCATTTCAAAATACTGAAATGTAAATTAGCCTTATTACTATTAGGTGACGTAGTCACTCTTAGGGAAATTCCCTTGCAAATAATTGTCAAAATTTATTATTGAGTTTATTGTATGTTATTAAAAATAAGGTAAATAATACAAAATTTACTGTTGTTCCCTTATTACAAGATACAGATAGAATCATAAAATAATGGATTTTCTAATTTACAAAATATGCTAAACGCTCAACCCGGAAAAAATAGTTGACATTTTACAAAGATATGGCATCGCGGAATGTCTTTACAAAATTTCAAATAAATTATATTTGCTTTTACTCACACATTGATTTGGGTGGTCTGGAAAAATTGGACACGTTGGAACATCAGTAATATTTTGCATATCTGATGATTGATTTCCCGAATCCGCCATTGTTTACGTCAATACACTTTTTAAAACTCCAATGTGGAGAGTACATATTTATTTCGCCCTCAATAGTTTTCGTCCTTCTGACCGTATTTGTCACTATCTTTTCTGAACTTTGACAATACTGTTTTAATATCGTTGTTTGCTTTGATAACGTCTTTTGGACATGGGTTAATGTTCTTTAGGCTTGGTGAATTTGGGGAAAAAGATCTTGGGAAAATTCTGTGAAAAATTTTGTGTTTTGTTTGTTTTTCGTATTTTATTAATGAAAATTTAATTTGATGTTTTAGGTTCCTATGACTTTCTCCACATTATTTTGCAAAAATTTATTTCTTATAATTAAAATCAATTTAAATCATTGCCTCCTAAAGAAGGCAAATTCCTTATTAAATTTCTTTATTCCATTTTTTCATTATAAATTCTAGAAATCTACTTATTGAGAAGGTTTTTAACCAAAAAATGGCCCAAGATTTGGGCCCATGATCGCTCACTGACCCATGAAACATCGGGGGGTAATTATTAAAGGGACAAGGGCCCATCCTGGAAAAACCAAGGTTTTTTTTTGGAAAATTGGGAAAAACCCTAGTCAAAAATGTGACCTCTAGAGTCAAAAATGTGAACCTCTAAGAGTGTTTACCAAGGTTTTTTCAATATTTGGGTAGTGTGACCTAGTTTTTGACCCCAGGTGACCCATATTCGAACCTGACCTAGAAAATCACCAAAACAAACTTGCGATATTTGGATCAAATCAGTTGCCACTAGATTGTTAACAAGCTTTTTTTCTATTTTAAGCTCCTGTGATCTAGTTTTTTGATTGGAACTTTGCCTAAGAAGTCATCAAATCAACCTTCTGACCAATTTCCAGAATATTTATATCAGAACTGCAGCCACTAGTGTTAACAAGATTTTTCTATTTTTAGCTCCTGCGACGTAGTTTTTTGACCAGAGATGACCCATATTCAAAAACTTTATCCAGAAATTGTCAAAACAATATTCCTGATCAAATTTTTCCAAGGTATTTTTATCCAAAAAGTAAAAGACAAAAAATAAAAAAGGGGTTAAGAAATTTTTTTTTTTAGCCTTCATTTTGACCATTTTTGGGACCAGGATTGAACCCAAAATTCCCTGGGTCCTATAAAATTAACAAAACAACCCTTAAAAAAAGAACCAAAATTTCCAAAAATTTGGATTTAAAACCCCGGAGCCACCTTTTGAGTTTTTACAAAAGGGGTTTTTCTTTTTTTTTTAAAGGCCCCTTTCCTTTTTTGGGGAACCCAAAAATGTTACGTTTTTTTTGGAACCACAAAAAAACCCAAAAATTCAAAAAATTTTACCCCGAAAAAAATCAAAAAAAAGTAACCTTTTTTCCCTTTTTCAATTTTTCAGGAATATTTTTTTATCAAAAATGGGGCCCCCTTTGGGAAGGTTGTTTTCAAAAAAAATTTTTCCTTTTTTTTAACTCCTGGTTTTCCCAGTTTTGACTGAAGGTTTACCCTAAAAATTTCAACAAAATTGAAACGGAAGGGCATCAAAAAAAACCTTTTCCCGACCCAAAATTTCCCGAAAAATTTAGATCAAAACTGCAGGGGCCAAATAAGAGGGGTTTGGGCACAAAAATTTTTTTTTTATTTTTAGCTCCTTTTACCCCAGTTTTTTAACCCCCCCCAAAATTTTAAACCCCTATTCAATCTGACCCGTATTTCAAATTTAAAACAAACAATTTTGACCAAAAGTTTGATGATGATTTTAATCAAAAACTGTTTTCCCCGCTAAGAGTGTTTTAACACCCCAATTTGTTGACGCCACAACAGGTCAGGTGAGCTAAAAAATTCTGATTGACGATATGGTTTTGAAAAATACTTTAACATTTCACCATTCTATTTAGCAATAGCTTTTTTCAAATTTAGATATACATGAACCATAAAATGCTAAGCGAAACAGGCATATTTTATAATTTGGATAGAAACTGAAACTGTTCTATTTAATTAAACGCCTATTTCTATATACATATTCAATGGCGTTGTACAAAAGGATAATAAAAGTATGTACATATAGATAAAAAAAGCACATATGCATGCCAAATGAACTACAAAAAAAATATGTTAAAGATATCAGCCGTGTAAAATATAAAGTATTAAAAACTTTTAAAAAAAAGAAGAATAGTTATTCACAATCTTAAAACAATGCGTAAAAATCTCTAAAATAGTAGGTTTTGACATTTGTCTTGAACATGTCCAAAGTCGAAGACTGTCTTATATACAGAGGCAATTTATTCCAGAGAGTTGGACCAACGGTACTAAAACTTCTGTCGTTAAATGTTTTCCTTTTGTTAAAGGGGACAGCAAAACAATAATCCATATTATCAACAGATCTGAGATTTGGTCTTTTTATGACAGGCTTGTGTAACAGTTCTGTTAGATAAACCGGAGCATTGCCCATAAAACAGTTATACATTGTACATAGTATTTTAAAATTGATCCTAGCTTTAATTGGTAACCAATGCAGTTCCAACAAAGAGTCTTTGGAACTATCATATTTTCCGCTTTGCAAAACAGGTTTAGCGCACATATTCTGGATACGCTGTAATTTCTGTAACTCACTTTCTGAAATGCCAAACAATATAGCGTTGCAATAATCCAAATGTGAGATTACAAGCGACAATACTAGGATTTTTGTGGCGTCCTGAGTCAGATATTTGCGAATACTCTTTATTCTTAAATAATTTAACATGGCAGTTCTACACTTGGTCTTAACATGTGTTGAGAATCTTAGGCCCTCGTCTAAGTAGGCACCTAAGTATCTTATGACACTGACATTTTGAATTTTATCACCGGCGATATCAATTTCTTTAATTGAACATTTACCAAGTTGGGCTTTACTACCAAACATAATGAATTCTGTCTTAGTGGTGTTCATTTTAAGTTTATTGGCAATTTGGCATTCATCCAGTCATTGATGATTACAGCACTGTCTTCAAGTTGCTTTATAGCGTTAAGTTCATTGGTCACTGAAGTTGGTTGAAAGCGTTGACTAGCAATGTGGTCATCAGCAAAGCCGTACACAGATATGGATGGTGGTATCACATCAAATAGGGTTCCTGCATATGTGAGATAGAGCCACTGACCAAGACAGCTCCCCTGAGGTACACTGCATTCCAGCAATCGTGGAGTCGATTCAGTAGAATTAACACTGACGCGACAACTACGAGGTCGCAGGTACGAGTCCACCCAAGCTAACACGGTACCATTGACACCGTACTGACTGTGTAACACGTTGAGTATAATGTTGTGGTCAACAGTGTCAAAAGCTGCACTTAGATCTATTGCAATTAGAGCTGTGACCTCTTGTTTCTCCATACCGTCTAGAAGATCATTGACAAGTCTGAGTAAAGCAGTCTCACATGAATGATGACGCCTGTATGCTGATTGATTTTTGGGTAACAAATTATGGGTATCAACATGGTTATTTAGTCTGAAGAGCGCAGCCTTTTCTATCAATTTTGAAAGAAACGATAAGTTACTGACAGGCCTGTAGTTTGACAATTGTAATTCTAAACCAGACTTCTTAAGAAGGGGTCTAATGATCGCCTGTTTCCAGTGTGTTGGAAATTAGCCTTTGTTTCCAGTGTGTTGGAAATAAGCCTTTAGACAGAGATAGATTGACCAGTTTGGTAATGGTTGGCAGAAGCTCATCTAGATGTGACTTTAATATATGTGTGGGTATTAAGTCCAGCTCACACGATTTGGTATTTAGTTCACAAATAAGGCTCTTCACCTGTGTTTCTGTAAGATCCTCGAAATTTTCTAAAGGTTGAATTTGTTTGACAATCCTGAAGTGATTTACGAATTTTAGCTATTTTGTCCATAAAAAAGTCTGCAAACTTCTCAGCTAGCTCACCGTCATTTGTAGACTGTGGCATAGGATTTTCAGCTTTAGTACCAGTTAATTCCGAAATTAAACCATAGAGTTTTTTTGAATCACCTTTGGCATTTAGAATTTTCTCACTTATTAATAGTTTTTTCTCAGAATCAATTTCTTTACAGTATCTATTCCGTGCTTCTTTAAATTTCTTGAACTGTTCTGGCTTTTTGTACTTTCTCCAAATTCTCTCTTTTTTCCGGACAATACGCTTAGATTCCAATATTGACTCATTGAACCAAGGTTTTTTTAGTTCTGCATATCCTAGTTTGTTCCTTTGTTGGAGCAAGTTTGTCGATAACAGATTGGATTTCTGATTCAAACAAGTTTACAAAAGTATTGACATCTTCACTATCAACTGAAATCTTCGTTAAATCATCAGAGAATTCAGAATGGGATATGCTTTTCCAGTTTCTAAATTGTAAAGTTTTACTGGTAATGTTTTCTTTCTAAGTCACATTAATGACTACGTGGACAGCACAGTGATCGGAGAGAAAAGGTCCTTGTTCACATTTAAGTACACATACACCATTAATCGATTCAGTGATAACCAAGTCTAAACAGTTTCCAGCAGTGTGTGTACTAAAGTTGACATGTTGCTCTAAACCCATAGCATGAAGGCAATTTTGAAAGTTTGTAGATGCACCACTACCATTGTCAAGGTGAAGGTTGAAGTCTCCCATAATCAACAAGTTAGAGTATGTAGGTAAGATATCTTCTATGAAATTTGAAAAGTCAGTTACAAATTGCTCACATGTGGCTAGGGATGGGGGTCTGTATAAACCAACTACGTGTACTGTTATACTTTTGAAAATGAGTTTCCATATGCCAAACTCAAAACTTTGTTTGGTCCCATGTTCCATCTTTCTCATTTTAATTTCGGTTTTACAAGTCAAAGCAACACCCCCACCAATTTTGTTCTTGCGGTTTGCAACACTGATTTTGTATCCGTGTTGATTGAGATCAGACGTTTCATACTGATGTTGTTTTTCGTCAGAATACCAGATGTTTCAGTCAACAAAGCAAAGTTAATTCTTTGTTCCCTCAAATACTGGCCAACAAAATTATCCTTGTTAACAACAGATGTACAGTTAAGTGTAAAACATGACACTTTTTCACCAATTTGAACACGCATGTTTTGTATTAAGGGGTATTTCAAATTGTGTAGGTTTGCACAAGAAGGCTTAGTCAGGATTTTAGCTTTACCACCACGTTTGCTCCTTTTGTGTGTTTTGGGTTGAGAGATGTTCAGCTTATGTATAACACCGTGTACACAATGGTCTAATTTATGAAGTTGCCAATTACTCGAAACCGTTAATCCTATTTTCAATAGCTGGTCACGACAATACCTGTACTTTTGATTTATGGTTGGCTGGTTATTCACAGATTTCGATCATGTCCGAAATATGTATATTTTTTTAAATATCTGTAACTTTCACCCATCATAAACAATTTAAAAAAAGTTATTGTTGCTAGATAAATACACATAAAAATCAACAAAACATTCATTTACAATTTGTCACAAAATTGCACTTTTCAGCACCTTCAATCCGTCAAAAAATAATAAAAATCCAGGAGCACAGAAAAACAAGTCTGCCTTGGTCTAGACTTTAGTCTTAGAATTTGTGGTTCATGTTCTGATAATCAGCTCGGTGATGAATTTCATTATTTATTACATATTGTTCCCTTTTTTCATGAACTTAACATTCTTAAATTTTCAAAGTTAGTGTCCAGTTAATGCAAAAATGTTTTATTTAGACTAAGTTAGTAAAGACTAGAAATTTTCTGCAAACAAGTGCCGGTTGAACCGGGTGATGCTTCCCGAATAGGTTTTGGACACAGGAAGGTATACCTCTTGTAGTGTTATGTCAAAGACAAAGTTCAAAAATGTTAAAAACAAGGTAGCGATCCAAATGTTGCGTGCAATACGTCCCAATATGGTGATCATTTCTGTGAAATAATTGTAAAATCAGACTTCAAATAACAAAGATATGAGCCAAAAACGATTTTGCTGCAAGGTCATGCTGTGACCTTGACCTTCAAGGTAGTGACCCAAATGTGTTGCACGCGACACATCGTCTCAATATTGTGATCATTTCTGTGAAATAGTTGTAAAATCAGACTTCAAATAACGAAGTTATTGGGCCGGACACGATTTGCTGCAAGGTCATGCTTTGAACTTGACCTTCAAGGTAGTGACCCAAATGTTGCGCTACACATTGTCTCAATATGTTGATCATTTCTGTTAAAAAGTTGTAAAATCTGACTTTAAATAACGAGGTTATGGGCCGGACACGAATTCGGGACGTACGTCCGTATGGACAACCCTGCAACTATTTGCTCCCCTGAATTTTTTTGGGGAGCATAAAAAAATAAATTGCATTCATTGAATGCTGTCTTTCCTGGTTGATCATATTGTTCATAATGCATGTAAATTACCAAATTATCTCATTGTCCTATTCTTAGATCTTGCAGTTGTTCTAACTGTTTCTATAATTTTTGTTTTTGCACATGCCTATAGTTGGGCCTTGAGATATCAATAAAACCTTGAACGGAAGACTGTATGTACTGTGCTTACCCAGACAGTTGTCACACTAGGTCATGAGAGAAGTAAGCTAGACTTTCAGGCAGAACCATGTTTAACTAGAACTCCCCGAGTTGAATGTGTCGCCTTGTGAACAATATAGTTAAAGAGAAATGGCCAGGACAAAAAAGAAATTAAAAAAAAATCAACAAAGGACAATAACTCAAAAAATAAGAAATGCAGATCAGCAGTTTCTGTGCACTGCACTTCTTATCAATAAGATCTCTCATCCTACTAAGTTTCAAGCCTAAAGCTTTCATAATTTATGAGAAATGGCCTAGACAAAAATAAAGTATGAAAATCAACAAAGGGCAATAACTCAAAAAATAAGAAATGCAGATCAGCAGTTTCTGTGCACTGCACTTCTTATTAATAAGATCTCTCATCCTACTAAGTTTCAAGCCTAAAGCTTTTATAATTTATGAGAAATGGCCTGGACAAAAATAAAGTATGAAAATCAACAAAGGGCAATAACTCAAAATAAGAAATGCAGAGTACCAGTTCTTGGGCACTGCACTTCATTTTATGAGATCTATCATCCTATGAAGTTTCATGTCCATAGCGTTTATACTTTAGGAGAAAAGGCCTGGACAAAAATAAAGTATGAAAATTAAGAAAGGGCAATAACTCAAAAAATAAGAAATGCAGAGTACCAGTTCTTGTGCACTGCACTTCTTCTTAATGAGATCTATCATCCTATGAAGTTTCAAGTCCATAGCTTTTATACTTTAGGAGAAATGGCCTGGACAAAAATAAAGTATGAAAATCAACAAAGGGCAATAACTCAAAAAATAAGAAATGCAGAGTACCAGTTCTTGTGCACTGCACTTCTTCTTAATGAGATCTATCATCCTATGAAGTTTCAAGTCCATAGATTTTATACTTAAGGAGAAATGACCCGGACAAAAATAAAGTATGAAAATTAACAAAGGGCAATAACTCAAAAAATAAGAAGTGCAGAGTACCGGTTCTTGTGCACTGCACTTCTGGTCATTATGAGAAGCATGCATACCAAGTTTGAAGTCAATCCGATTTATAATGACTGACTTATGCTCCGGACAAGCTTTAGGGGACACCGACACCAACGCTGACGACAAAAGTAACCCCTATATGTCGCCTTTTTCAAGGCGACACAAAAAACTCATTGTGTGATCAAAGTGTGGTTCTTTGTGTTATTCATGAGCAAAAAGCCATTTCCTAAACCTATTAATAAATGAGTGTGTTGTTGGACGGTTTTTCAAAGCACGACTTGGTGGCTACTTTGTTTGTATTTTTAACTAGATTGTTGGAATTATAAAGCGGGTGAGTGATAGCTTTTTCTATAAATTATAAGGCTAGGATTCCTTCTTGGTTATAACTTTTGTGCTTGAACACACATACCACCATTAAACTACTGCTATTAGAGAGGTAATTTATACAGACAACTTATATGTATAGCCTTAAATTACTCTAACCCTTGACCTCGTATGTGAAATGGTCAAAATGTACATTCATCATTAGCAATGTCAGTTCTTACGTTTAAACGTCACAAGCATTTATTTCATGCTTTCCAGTGTTTTATTGTAATATTTCAGATGATTGTATTCTGATAAACCACTAGTGAAATTTATAAAATATAATCATCACTGTAGCCACACTTTATCTGAATGCAGATGAAAAGAATATCATAACTAAATGGAATAATTAAGAAAAAATAAATACCGTCTTATGTAAATTTTGCTTATTTATAAATTAGGAAAAGAAAGTCCATGTCATCATAGACATCAGGTTGAAAATGTAACAAAATAAGAGAAATGTAAAAGAACTATTTTCAAAATTTATGTTGTGACATCATGATGTGATGACGTCAAAAAGGAGGATGCAAGAATTTGCGCGGCAAAATCGTAAAAAAGCACACTAAAAATCACTTAAAAAGCATGAAATAAAAAGAAAAGATATTTGTTTTAAATATAAGATTGAAATATATTTCATTCGTGAACTCAAGCTATTCTATTTTCACTTGTGGAGCCCTACGCCACTCATGAAAATATTGCATCTCACAGTTAACTCAGTGAAACATATTTTAATTTTATTTTATGTTTCAAATAGAGCTATAGTATAAGTTATTCTATATTTAAAGGGTTAATACTGAACTGTCATTCTTTTTAGCATCAAAACTTTTTTGACAAAAATATAAACATAGACATGAATGAATCATATAATAATAATCAATATTTAAATTATAAGTTCACTTTATTTTAATATTTAAATTAAATTCAAGATAAGTCTTTGTCAACCAGTGAACTTGTTGCCACGAGCCGCATTATCCCAGCACTGAAAATAGAAAAATATGAATCATTTTCACAATCATGGTTGATGGGACGTTATGAGATAAGACTGTAAAAACGCCATTCCCAGTTAATTCTTCAATTTTTTTTATTACCGGTATGTATCGAGATACTTTTTATCTGAAGAAGATAACTGAAAAAGTTATTTAAGGTAAACGATGACTTCCTAAAATATCAGTTATGCATTTCCTTCTTGATATCACATGATTGTGTAAAAAATGTTAGAAATTTAACAAATAAATTACTATAGAATAATAATAACATTATAAGGTAGGCAATTTTAGCGAATAAATTACAACAATAATTATAACTTTGACGGTGTACAACTTTTAACAAATAACATGAATAATTATAACAATATACGGTTTACATTTATTAATAAACACAATACGGTGTAGAATTTTAACAAATAAATTACTAACATAATTGTAACAATATATGGTGTACAATTTAAACAAATGAATAACTGGAATAAAATTTATTATAACAATATACGGTGAAAAATTTTAACAAATTAATAACAAGAATAATTTAAACAATATACGGTGAAAAATTTTAACAAATAAAATACTAGAATAATTTTAACAATATACGGTGTGCAATTTTAACAAATAGATTGCGAAAATAATTATACAATATATGGTGACTTTTCTTGCTTAAAAAACGGGAATAATTAGTTATATAACAATATCCTGTAACATTTTAACAAATCAATTACGAGAATAATTAGAATTATATACGGTGAACATCTTTTCACACTGTAAACTATAATTGTTTTAACGACAAAATAACACTTTTAAAGTGAATTATGACAGAGAATAGTTAGATCAGTAACAATGAATGTTTAAACCGTACTCACCTGGACACCATCCGCACATTTCAGGACAGTAATAAGCGGGATAAATATCGCAAATTCCTGTGACAGAGGAGCAATAACCGTCATCTACTACAGGTGAGGCATAACAATCAACTGGAAATCAAGATGTACAATATGATATTAGCAGGTAAAACATCAACAACAAACCTACACAAATTTGCAATTTTATGTGTTATAAAAGTGACTTTTGTGTTGACAAAAGCATTGTTTTCTTTTGATCATAAAGCCTTATTATTCAACAATTATTTAAAAAGCTTGAGTATATTTAAGACTGTATATTTAAGACTATCTTTTTGTAAAATGAGAATGGCCATTCAATATCATATGTATACAAACTGGTAGATATGGTATGAATATTGAATAGAGTTACTAGAAATAAATGGTATTGTAATCATTGTAATATACATTACCTTGAAGATGAATATCACTTTATACTATACATGTGTCCATGTTATTTACAATATTAGACATTTTATATATTAAATGTTACTGTTATAGTAAACAAAGTGACTACTTTGTAGAATTGTTGAATACAAAAATAAGAATATTCTAAAAAGATACAGCTTAACAATTTCACATGGAACTACTTGAACAGTTCATAATATTTATAATAATCAATTTATTATAATGTGCTTATTTTTCTGCAGTGACATTATTATCTTTTACTATCTACGTATATGCAAATTGATTATGTACTTATTGGCCAAATATCAAATAAAGAATTTGTTCAGTTCTGTAAAGACATGTTAATTTTATATTAAACCCAAATAATATTTAGTGACCGATAGGCTCAATGGATCTGGTACTATATTTTTTGTTTGTTTCCATAGCCATAGTCATAGTTACTCACTCACTCACTTTACCTTACCATTTCATACCTTTCCTTACTGTACTTACTTTAATACATGGAGTGGTATGAAATATCATGATTTTCATACCACAAGATGAAAATAAATCCTGTATTTATATCAGAAACTTGAATTTTCGGATTATTATATACTTTTTCTCTTTTTTTAAACTTATGAATAGGAAGAATTCCCTTTTAATTTTGTGTATTGGCTGAATTTAGAAGAGAGTAGTCTGGCAAGACACCAGTGAAAATACGGAAAATATGTTTCGATCACTGCAGTGAAAAATTATTTTAAACAGTCAATATACGAAAAATAAAAATGTGCATTTTATTTCATCAATATTTCATTTCTAAGTACATTGTATATAATAAAGGTGTATAAAATACACATTTTGTTAAATTCTTAGATGAAAAATGAATAAACATTTATTAATATGTTCACAGACACTTGTAGTTTGGAGCTTTAAATGCCTTAAAATAAAAATTGTGTATTTGTCAATCCAAGCACATAATTTATACTTATCATATAAATAAAAAAAAAACTTAATGGATAAAGAAAATGTGTGCTAGGCTTGACAACTAAATTTTATTTGGATTTTCTTCACACCTCAAGTGTCTGTGACAGGGTTCGTACAGACATCAAATGCCAAAATTCAAGGACTTTTTAAGCACTATTTAAGCATGCTTTCCCATTTTTCAAGCACATTTTTGCACATACATCAACACAATCTTCAAACTAAAAAGGATAGTTTATTTTTAAGCACTTTTTAAGAAAAGGACTCAAATTTCAGCACTTTTTAAGACTGTACGAACCCTGTGTGAATAAATTGCGTACTTACTTGCACAATTAGGTTGCACATGGCTGTTAATTGATTGGCAATCACAAGAACATGTATCCCAGTTAACATTTCCTCCATTGTAACAATCAATTCCTCCGCAATCTTATAATAAGAATAATATCTTTATTTAGAGAAGGTAATACATTAAGAGTTATAATACAACAGCAATAATATATATCTTATTTCTAATGTGGCCTTCTGAAATATAAAAACAACATCAGAACATGCATATAGGTAGAAAAATGACTTAAACATGTATAATATATGTGTCATTTTAAAAATAATATAATTCATACTTACGGCAGGTATTCAGCAATTTGTTTAAACGTATATTACTTCATTTGTTTGTTCGTTCATTCATTCATTCATTAACAAGATATTTAAAAATAAAATAAAATGTATATGCGATCATCTGTGCATGCTCATTTTGCATGCATTATCTAGTGTGGCTGGCTTTAGAATTTTTAGATATATCACCAAAGCATAAAAATCGTCATTATCATTAGGGAAATATGTTGCTTGTACATTACATAAAATTCACCTAGGTTTTGGCCCCAGGTGACTCATATTCGAACTTGACCTAGATATCATCAAAACAAACTTGCAGACCAATTTCAAGGATATTTGGATCAAAACAGTAACCACTAGAGTGTTTACAAATTTTTTCTATTTTAAGCTCCTGTGGCCTAGTTTTTCATTCGAGATGACCCATGTTTGAACTCATCCGTGCAATTACCTAGACAAGCATCCTGACATAGTTTGATGACGATTGAAGTAAAAATGTGACCACTAAAGTGTTAAACGAACAAGTGTGGACGGATGACAGACGACGGACATTCAACGATCATAAAAGCTCACCCCGAGCTAAAAAGGAAACAATGTGTATCAATTATGTTTAAAATAATTAGCTTAACTAAAATAGGTCCAGGTACGATTCAAACAACACTATCAAAAGATTGTCACTGGACTTTTTTTAACATTTTAACCAACAATAAACGCATGTGAGTACCACATCTAGTATACACGTGAAGGAGAATTAAAAATTTAAAGTTAAAATATAAGGGACCTCCAAATCTAACAAGCAAATTCGTTGAATTTATATCCCCGGCCGAGTACTGGTTATTATTAACACAACAACTGAAGACATAAGGCTTTATTTATATATTAATCATGGCATAAACAGTAATATTCTTTGAACTTGATAAATATTCAGGGAAATAACAGAGCCATAACTTTGTGTTAAATAGTAAAATCTGGAAATGCCAATGAGATGTATGCATACTACATAACTAATCAAGGGCCATAAATCTGAGTTATAAGTATCTGACTGGAACAAGGCGACTATATGCACATCTCCTCTTAGTATCCCATAAAGTTTCATTGAATTCCAGCCGGTGGTAGCAGAGAAGTAGCGAGGAAACAAATATTTTTCCATATGGACACTGCATAACTAATCAAGGGCCATAACTCTGAGTTAAAGTGTCTGACCGGAACAAGCCGATGATATGCGCATCTCCTCTTGGTATTGAAGGTACCCATAAAGTTTCGTTGAATTCCAGCCAGTAGTTGCAGAGAAGTAGCGCGGGAAACGATTTTTACTCAATATGCATACTGCATAACTAATCAAGGGCCATAACTCTGAGTTAAAGGGTCTGACCGGAACAAGCAGACGATATGCACATCTCCTCTTGATATTGATGATTCCCCTAAAGTTTTGTTGAATTCCAGCCAGTAGTTGCAGAGAACTACTCCGGAAACGAAATTCTGACGGACGGGTGGACGGACGGATGCCCATCTCCTCTTGATATTGATGATTCCCATAATGTTTCGTTGAATTCCAGCCAGTAGTCGAAGAGAACTACTCCGGAAACCAAATTGGGATGGACGGATGGACAGACAGACAACGCCAAAACTATATCCCCCTCCCGATTCCATCGGCGGGGGATAAAAACCGAACACTTAAATACCGGACAATATATGCAAAATGGGATAGTCTAATTCCTTCGGACGGTTATTCATATTACTGCAATTAGGGTCATGGATATTTTTTTGAAAATCAGTATTAAATCATCAAACAATATAGATAAAATTTTTTGAAAAGAGCGTAAATGAAACACTTCTATTTTCGTTCATGAAAAAATTCTTTTACACCTCCTGTGTTTCAAAACTAATTTTAAATTCCAGGTCTTCTATAAACTGAGATAAGTATCCAACACATTTTTTTATACATAGAGACACACTCCTAGATAGCAACTAAATCAAATCTGATTAAAATTGGCTCTAAATAACGCTCTGCTTTTAAATCTGACCGTGACCAAGTACGTAAACGTTTCTGGTGACCTTTCACACAGCCAATCATCGGCCAGCTTTCATAATTTTGAAAGCGATGTGGTTCCTAATTTTAATCCTTTATAGGAAAAGCATGCAGTACTCAGTAGGTAATTTCCACGATCTCGAGAACAAACATGGCATTGTCCATATAGCCGACAGGTAAACAGGCAAAACAATCTTGCCCACTAAAACTTGACTCTATTGTTTCAAGTTAATTTGTTAAAAATTACTTCAAACATATTTTTTCCAACAAAAATCAATAATTTGTTCAACTTCCACGGATACACAGTATTTTGATACTTCTTTTAATGGCTATGTAAAAACCGGTTTTATTGCATGTCTAAAAATAGCTTTCTTGGGAATTCCGAATTGTAAAGAAGGCGAAATATATGTTTTCTTTTTGAGAAATGTATCTCTCTCTAAAGTGTTTTAATGTTTGTAAGAGTGCGAAGCAAAACGTCACATTATCAATAGTTATATTTTTGACGTTTAATGATAAAATATTGAAGTACTGTTACCACAAAGGTTGTTGTTACATGCTGAAGGACAACTGCTGCATGTAGTACCGCTTTCGTAGGGTAAAACTCCGGCATAATTACCACTATAAAATAAACATGAAGGCCATATAAAATTAGATCACGTTATGAGCTCAGCAACATAACCACGATAAACAAATAAGACAACAACAAAACATTTTACATCTTATACCAAACTAAAGGCAGCCGAAAGAGATTTGCAATATCTTGCCTTACGGCTCTTGCTATATTAACGAACAACAATTAATATAGGGTTTTTAACCTGTCAAAATTCTTCATAACTTATAATATACACAGCTGCTTTCAATTTAAGAAGAAATCTCCTTTTTGTATCTCCAATAAAGAAGGAATTTGTTATAAAACTTCACGACAGGTTATATGGCCGTACATTAACGATTGTTTGCCATATAACGCTCATCTGCCAGCATGTATTTATGTGCGACTAAATTATCTAAGGCCATATCCTGATATCACCTTTCAAAATAATCTCTATAACTGATATATGCTGATGCCTATTACTAACAGTTACACGCAGGATTTACAATTTCATATACTCACGCTGGTCCATAGTTACAAACATATATTTTATCTGTACCACAGACGGCATAACCACACCCTATTTTATGCGTTTCAGCCCACACAATCTACAATATGACATGATGATAAAAATAAATAATTTACGAACAGAGTTAAATGTAACATTAACAGAAGTAACATCATGGTCTATAAAGATTCCTCATGCAAAATTACTTCTGATATAGCAGATACATCTAATTACTCGAAAACTTTAAGAAATTTACACCGGTGGCCGGTACAGAATGGAATATCTAACTTGTGGGTAACAGTTAAGTAGAAACTCACCAGAGGCTCGTTTAATATAATTTTATTCAACTTGTTCAATAAATTCAGCATTGAACTTACACTCATTCAATATTCTCTATTTATGTCAGACATGCGCGGACACCTGAGCAATTTGTATGTAATGTATTAGTCACCAAAACAAACAAAATAGCTACCTGTGTATAATGTCCGATCACTTCGCCAGCTGGAATGGCGCTATTGGTTGTGTAATCGTAATATTGTTTCTCGTCAATCATCATTTGCAAAGATACTGTCCAGTCGTCTGTGTTAAACGCCATGTTCTGCCCAGCAGAATATCGACCTAAATAGAGAAAATAAGAATCCCTAAAGAAAGCCCAAAACAATAAAACTGAAAATGTTGCAGGCTGGTTTAACTGAACCTGTTCATGGACTGTACTGTTAAGTCCAAAAAGCCATGCAATACAAAAAGTCAAGTCAAAATTTTATTTGCAATTCAGAAGATATCTGCCTTTAGCAATACATACGTAAATATACATATGGCAAATAATTATAACAAAAGCAAACATAAACATACAAACAGGGCTTCTATTACAATGATATTTCATGTAACTTGAGTAACACATTTCAATTTCATATAGCATATGCTTATGAAAAAAAACAAAAACAAGATTGCATTTGAGAAAAATGCTATGCCACCGCATGGTTCAAATTTCATAGCTGTACATCAAAGGACAAGAAAGTAGGTCACATCATCAAAATCTAGGTCAAAGTTCAATTTTACAACTAAAACTGTGCACATGGTCAAAATGTCATTGCTGTACATCAAAGGACAAGAAAGTAGGTCACTGTCCCCTTGGGCAAGGCATAATTTTGACCCAAGGGTTTAATAACAATCTTGATACAGGTCCACCAAACAACATTTCAAGTCAAATATCTAAGCTATAGCTTTCTCCCATTCAGAAAACATTTGTTTTATTTTCTGTTTTTACTACGTGTACATAATGAGAATCACTGCCCCCGGGCAGGGCCAATTTTTGACATTTGAACAACTTTGGTAGAGGACCTATAGATGATATTATATATCAAACATCAAAGCTCTATGCCTTGAACCTTCAGACAAAATTTTTTTTTTCACTATATGTACATAATGAAAATCAATGACCCCCGGGGCGGAACCAATTTTGATCCGAGGGCTATAATTTGAACAATCTTGCTAGAGGTTCACTACACAATGTTTCATGCAAAATATTTTAACTCTATCCTTTGTAAATTTAGAGAAGATGATTTTTTAAGTTTTAACTATATACATATAAGATAAACCTATGGCTCCCAAGGGCGGGGCTAATTTTGACACAAGAGGCAAAATTTGAACAACTTTGGTAGAGTACCTTTAGATGATATTATTTAACAAATATTAAAGCTCTAAGCCTTGTACCTTCAGATAATAACATTTTTTTATTTTTTACTATATGTATATATTGAAATCAATGACCCCCAGGGCAGGGGCAATTTTGACCCCAGGGCTATAATTTGAACAATCTTGCTAGAGGTTTACAACACAATGTTTCATGCAAAATATCTAACCTCTAGCATTTGTCAATTGCTAGAAGAATTTTTTTAAAGTTTTTACTATATACATATAAGGAAAACCAATGACCCCTGGGGCGGGGCCGATTTTGACCCCAGGGCTATAATTTGAACAATCTGGGTAGAGGCTACAAGACAATGCCTTATGCAGCAAAATATCTAAGCTCTAGGCCCTTTGGGTCTTTACAAGAAGGTGTTTTAAGTTTTTACTATATGTACATATAGCGAAAATCAATGACCCCGGGGCAGGGCCGATTTTGACCCAAGGGCTATAATTTGAACAATCTTGGTAAGGGTCTACCAGATGATGCCTTACGCAAAATATCTAAGCTCTAGGCCTTTTGGGTTTTTACAAGAAGGTATTTTAAGTTTTTACTATATGTACATAGTGAAAATCAATGACCCCCGGGGTTCATCTTCTTTTTAAGTTTTTACTATATACATATAAGGAAAACCAATGACCCCTGGGGCGGGGCCGATTTTCACCCCAGGGCTATAATTTGAACAATCTGGGTGGAGGCTACCAGACAATGCCTTATGCAAAATATCTAAGCTCTAGGCCTTTTGGGTCTTTACAAGAAGGTGTTTTAAGTTTTTACTATATGTACATATAGCGAAAATCAATGACCCCGGGGCAGGGCCGATTTTGACCCAAGGGCTATAATTTGAACAATCTTGGTAAGGGTCTACCAGATGATGCCTTATGCAAAATATCTAAGCTCTAGGCCTTTTGGGTTTTTACAAGAAGGTATTTTAAGTTTTTACTATATGTACATAGTGAAAATCAATGACCCCCGGGGTGGGGCCAATTTTGACCCCAGGGCTATAATTTGAACAATCTTGTTAGAGGTCTACCAGACAATGCCTTATGCAAAATATCTAAGCTCTAGGCCTTTTGGGTCTTTACAAGAAGATTTTTTAAATTTATTCATATAATTCCTTTTGGTTGCCATGGCAACCAGATTTCTGCATGGAATGAAATTCTTTGAACAACTTTGGAAGCCCTTCACCCAAGGAACAATCCTGCCAAGTTTGGTTGAAATTGGACTAGTGGTTTTTCACAAGAAGATTTTTTAAGTTCACGATATAATCTATATAACACACACACAAACACACACACACACAGGTGAATCGCTATATGCCACCGCATCGCAGATGCTGCGTGGCATAAAAATTCCCATGTTGTCTCTCCTATTTATTTTAGCTTACAAATAATTCATTAATTCAGACATTATTAGGCCTTTTTGTAGGGAAAAAAAAGATAAACAAAGTAACACTATTGCTTAACATTAGAATAATAACTTTTTTGGGAATTTATAAGATTTTCAAAAGACTAATTAAGCTACTTAATTCTAATTCTTTGCAAAAGAATAACTATTTTATTTATTTTAATTTATTTTTTTGGAACCCTACACGTAAGAATTAAGATGAACTTTATGGTCAGACTGATAAATTTCTATAATTATAATATTTTACTCAAGGATGAGCATAGTACATTTTCAAGTAATTTCTTACATACGTAAATGTATGCGTAAATGATTGTTCGAAGGTCATAAGGAAGACAGGGTTTGTCCTATTGAGTTACCTATATGGTAAATAAAGTTTATTTATTTATTTATTTACTTATTTATTTACAAGAATTTATAGGAAGTAGAAAACATTTTATTACCGTGATCTTCTCTGTTAAGAGGAGAATCATGGTAGTCTGGGCACGAATCTGCCCATCTTTGTGCTATGTTAGCTAAAGAGTCATCCCAAGTCTGAAACAAAAGACAACATGCTTACAATCTGATTAATGTATAGGTTCTTCAAGTCTATAATCTATTTTCATTTCCTTCCTTAATTTAACAAGAAAATTGACATAATGAAGATCATTTTAAATCTACAGTCTGCTTGAATATTCTACATAAATCAAATGAGCCGCGTCATGACAAAACCAACATAGTGTGTTTGGGACCAGCATGGATCCACACCAGCCTGCGCATCCGCGCAGTCTGATCAGGATCCATGCTGTTCACTATCAGCTTCTCTACTTGTTATAGGGTTTGTAAGCGAACAGCATGGATCCTGATCAGACTGTGTGGATGGGCAGGCTGGTCTGGATCCCTGCTGGTCGCAAACGCACTATGTTAGTTTTGTCATGGCGCGGCTCAAATTAAGACTTGAACTACTCAGGTGCCTGTCCGTGCCTGGACTGATGCACAGAGTGGCACCTGAAGTACCAGTACTAAGGCTGGACAGACACCATTTGACCATAGCAGTGTTTGTGCGAATAAAACCAAACTAAGAACAAATGACAATACATTTAAAAGCAGCATGTCTCATGAGAATTTTGAAAATTCATTTAAAATAAAATATTGTGAAGTGAATAAAGAAAGTAATTTAAACATACAATCTGCTTAAATTACCAAAAAGATGTCAAAATATACAAAAAGAGGATGTATTGCTATAGTCATGCATGCAGTAGAAATATGGTTAAAATACTGCAAAATCAGTCAATTATCGAACATAACATCTAAATCATTACTGGTATCTGTTTACTTATCTTAAAATCTTAGTACATTTTTCACTAGTTTGATTTTGTTGAAATATTTCGGCTCACCTGGAAGAGGCTTGTACCTTTAATACTTAATTTAACTTACCAAAATTGCCATATTCTTTGCGGGAGGGTCTACATTCCGTCTAGCCTCGTTATGTATATTTAATATTAACGTTTTATCATCCTCCGAAACAGCTGTAATATGATATAGCTTGACTACACATACAATCAGTTACAACCAATATTCTTATAACAGGAAAATTAATACCTTCAAAAAGTTTTTGATAAACAAGTTATAAACATATTCATTGCATCAAATTCATCACAATTTTTAACATTTGATCGTACATGGTGTCCATGTAACTCTGCAAGGCTTCTGTGTTTACCGTTTGAGAATATATGATTATCATAACTATCCATAGAAAATAATTATACATATACATTAATTACTACAATAATAAACAAAGTCATTTTGCTGAAGTTTTCTTGTTTTCCTTAGATTGTTTTAAAGGGTTGAAGAAAAAATACAGCACCGCCTTTGCAGAGCTACATCCTTTTGGACACATCAAGTTTGATGTTTGGTAAGTGGCACTATAAGTCTGGAGAGACAGAATTTATTGTAATGTTTAGTTTAATCTAGTGTTGATAGTTTTCACTCCAGATCACAGCAGTAAGCCAGCCACATCAAATTTACAAGAGCACAGTTCAGCCTCCGCATCATTCCTGGGCAGGCTGTCAAGCAGTTTACCAGTACTAGATGCCTTCACTTTCGCAAGGAACTGATAACTTCTTTACATGCCAGAGCGAATGTACAGTGCGAATGACCGTAGAAATGATTTCATTCATGATCAATCACAAGGAACGTGGCATGAACCGACTGGGAACCAAGCCCGGATCGTGCAGGCCATTTTCCAATGCTGTACCTATTGAGCAAACCAGATGGCTTTTGTAAAGTTTAACTTAACGAAGAAGAGTTACTGTTGTTGTTTTTTTTTTTTGGGGGGGGGTGGGGGTGGGGGAGCGGGGTAGTAAATATGTTATTGCAATACAAAGGGCTGCTTGCTCTATAAAAGTTGCATTGTAACACATCTTACTCGGGACGTTAGCAAAAGTTGGCATATTATTATAATTTAACTAACTTTAAAGGAGCTCCACCAAGGTCACATGACCTAAACCTTAAAAACATAAAATTTGAAATTCTTACATACGTATATCAAGAGATACATTTACAATGACAAAATCTGCAAAAGATAATGAAGAATTATACTCAGAACTAAAATGAAAATCGATGTTTTTTGTGTGCTTCTTATCACGGTTAAAGTGAAAAGCGTTGCAATGTTTTTCATTTTTGGGTCATTTTGCACAATTAGTATGATTGTTCTGGGAAAACTGAGTTAGGAAATGATATGAAATTTTGCACGTACGTTATTAGCCTAGACCTCCAAGAATATGGTACACAAAATTTGGAATAAATATTTCCAGTCCCTTCTTGTAAAAAACAACAACAAAAAAAAAACACACAACAAAACAAACAAAATTCTCAGTGGAGTCCTTTTAAACTTGTTACATACCGGTACGTAACATTGATAATCATCTTTAAAATTGATAGAAAAACAAACAAACATAACTTATACCTACCTATTCCTATATCGTCGCTAATTTTCGGCAAACAAGCACTGTGGGCCGGATTTATTTCGTAATACTTTGGCTCGCAGTCCGGTATAACTTTATTATGTAAATAATCAAACATATTAAATTTAAGTCGTTTCGTTTTATTAAAAATATAACATACAGTCTAAAAATACATTATGTAACATTTGATAAAAGAGCTCCATCTCACAAAATGAGCGGCACATTATTTAAGGGACCATCAACAGTGAGAAACAACAAATAAAAGTTACAAGTTTTAAATTACAAGTTTTAAGTGAAATGTATTTTTATTTTTCGCGACTGCAATGTTTGATATACGTTAACCACTATCGTGAACGGAAACCTTAAAAAGCCGACACACTCCACATGACGGTTGGTAGTTTTATTCTTTATTTTAAGTCTCCCTTTTTACGCTAGTGCAATACAGATACATGTATAGCATTACCGCATTCAAAAAGAACGCACCTGTTCTCTAACATACTAAGCATAAAGCACTTTCCACCATTTCAAACAGTCTATATTAAATAAAAAAACTGTGGGGAAATATTTGGAGTAGCGGAGCCTTGAATTTGCGATCTCTTGATTTGCAGGCAAACAACGCACCATCTCTCATGGAAAGACATCTGTGCATTATTTTTCTGCCTGGAAGAACGTTTGTGTTTTTTATTCCACCTAAGAAGGATGCGTGTGTGTTATTTATTCCACATAAAAGATCGTTCTTGATATATTTCCGCCAAGAAGAACGTTTGTGTTATTTATTCCACTGTGTTATTTATTCCACCTTAGAAAGACAATTGTGTTATTTATTCCACGGAGAAAAACGTTTGTGATATTTTTACTGCTTAGAAGAATGTTTGTGTAATTATTCATTCCACCTAGAAGAACATCTGTGTTATTTATACCACCTAGAAGAACGTTTGTGTTATCTTTCCGCCTTGCAAGACGTTTGTATTATTTATCCTCCCTTAGAAGGTGTCAAGGACATTTATGCGTTATTTACCCCTCGTAGAGAGGGTGTGCGTTTGTACCCTGAAACATCACGCGATCGAACAGTATCAGCAGACGCAGATAATCATAATTACAACATACAATGGACCTTCAACTGTATTGGGAGGCAAGAATGGTCTTTCTTGATTTTATTGCTTTAAGTTATGAAGATTAATTGTCGCTGATAAATTGCTCTAAGAGAATCTCCACTTTATACCCATTGGGAATAATCAACTGCAAACTTATTATACAATGCCTATTTTAGGTGCAATCTCATTAAAATTAGATCATCGTTTTCGCTCCGTTACTCTTTGCTACGAATATCTGACAACATTCAGTGTCAAGTATCCTACCTTAGTGAAGGGTAGTGGAGCGACAGATAGAATATGATGTTTAAATTTTAATTAAGACTAATTGAGGAGTTATTTCCCTTGTAACAGAACATTAAGATTTGGCAACAATATGCTTCCGTATATCCCTGTTGTTGTTAACTACATACTTGGAAAATGTCTTATAAAAATCCTTGCAATATATATTACTAAGAAGGGTATTAACAACAAATTAGAGCAAAAGAATCTTATACATACAAAGACTACGCATGGTAATGATGATGATAATAATAGTGATGATGATGATGATAATAATAGTGATGATGATGATGATGATAATAATAGTGATGATGATGATAGTGATGATGATGATGATGATGATAATAGTGATGATGATGATGATAATAGTGATGATGATGATGATGATAATAGTGATGATGATGATAGTGATGATGATGATGATGATAATAGTGATGATGATGATGATGATGATAATAATAACAACAATCAAAATTCACATCAACGGAATACTAAGACTTGAAATTTCGGCTATAATTTAAACAAAGTTAACTACATATGCTTGTTTAATAATTAAAGCAAAGGCATGTTTTACATTGTTTTTAAAAAACGCTTTGTGAAATTGACATTTTAAACACGATCAACTTATTGATATAACTTTTAGCTGTTTTTATCAATCTGACTATTTAAAGTTCAGATTGACTTTAGTTATTTCTAGCATATGTCGCGTTGATTAATTAGGAACTAGGGGAAATAGGCTATTTACCTGTGTCACAATCGTCCCCTGTATATCCATCAGCACACAAACATACATAGATACCAACCCCATCCAAACAATCTGCCCCATTCTGACATGGGTCTGTTGCACAGTCATCAATATCTATTATTTTAATCAAAATACAAAATAACATAAAAATGTCTTAAAAAGATAAGGTAAGATATCATATAAGATAATATGAGATAAATAAATGATTAGAAATTATTATCGAATTTTTTTTTTATAACATTAACTTGCGTCAGAAAACGTAAGATTATATAGTATATACATATGATAACACAAATATACTTGACACAATTTAGAGAAAGAAATTATTAATATAGATAAGAAAAGAAATTTTATTTCTAGACATGATTTGTGTAGACATTGTACACAGATATAGTTACTTACAAATGAAAATCTAAATCAAAATTTCTATTTTCATATTACATTTTATTCAGTCACGATTTGTCATTGGGCGTTACTCAGGAAGGTACCAAACATTTTTTTTTTGTGGAAGGCGGGTATTCAATAATCACATTTAATCATATAATCATGTTTAATCATATAAAGATTTTATTTATCTACCACTGGGGATTAGAATTCTATAAAACAAGAGGGCCATGATGGCGCTGAGTCGCTCACCAGAAACAACTGCTTTTCAGTGTTGGAATGTCAATATATTCTGATATTAAATTTGAGCATAGAATATGTTTAAACAATAATTTGAAGAAATGCCATGACCTGGGGCATTTAAGCTTTAGCTTAAACGGGGCTAATCAAATTAATATGAGCAAACTACCTAAGAATGCTACAAAGTTTGGTGATCATCTATCAATTATTTCAGTAGGAAATGATGTTCGAAGGTTTTTTTCTATTTTTAGCTTTAGTGGCCCCTACAAGGGGCCAATCAAATTAGTATAAGCAAACTTGATAAAAGAGCACCCAAGAATGCTACAGACAAAGTTTGGTGATCATCCATCAATTGGTTTCGAAGTAGAAGATGTTAAAAGGTTTTTCTATTTTTAGCTTGAGTGGCCCCTAAAAGGGGCCAATCAAAATAATATGAGCAAACTTGATAAAAGATTACCAAAAAATGCTACAAAGTTTGGTGATCATCCATCAATTAGTTCTGTAGCAATAGACGTTTAAATATATATCTATTTTTAATTTTATTGGCCCCTAAAAGGGGCCAATCAAATTCATATGAACCAACTTGATAAAAGACTACCCAAGATTGCTACAGACAAAGTTTGGTGATCATCCATCAATTAGTTCTGTAGAAATAGACATTTAAAGTTATTTCTTTTTTTAGCTTTAGCGGCCCCTAAAAGAGGCCAATCAAATTCATATGAGCAAACTTGATAAAAGACTACCCTACAATGCTACAGACAAAGTTCTGTAGAAGAAGATGTTTAAAGGTTTTTCTATTTTTAGCTCTGCTGACCCCTAAAAGGGGCCAATTGGAATGACATGAGCAAATTCAAGTGTGACTGTACAAAGGATGCTACAGACCAAATTTGAAGTAAATCTGCTTAGTAGTTTCAGAGAAGAAGACGAATGTTGACAGACAACGGACACCGGAGAATCCCCCTTTGATACTAATAGTTCACCCTGAGCCTTAGGCTCTGGTAAGCTAAAACTGTCATCATTATTATTTTTTTTTTTTTTTTGGGAAGTGGGGGCAGGGATGTGGTTATTCGAAAATCAATTCAATTTAATGATATGAATAAAGATTTAATTTACCTACCATTGGATAAGAATTTTATTACCTGTCCCACATTTAGTCCCTGTATATCCGGCGACACACACACATGTGTAGGAGTCAACACCGTCAACACATGTTGCCCCGTTCAGACATGGGTCGGGATTGCAATCATCTATGTCTGAAAAGTACAATCAAAACAAGGTATTAACAAGAGCTGTCAGTAGGACAGCAACGCTCGACTATTCTTCGTGCTTGATAGTAAAAAAGCCTTAATACAAGAGCCGGTTGAACCGGGTGATGCTCCCCGAATAGGTTTTGGACACAGGAAGGTATACCTCTTGTTGTGTCAGAGTTATGTCACAGACAAAGTTCAAAGTGTAAAAACAACCCAAATATTGTGCACGACACATTGTCTCAATATGGTGATCATTTTTGTGAAATAGTTGTAAAATCCGACTTCAAATAACGAAGTTATGCGCCTGACATTATTTTGCTGCAAGGTCATGCTGTGACCATGACCTTCAAGGTAGTGACCCAAATGTTGCATGTGACACGTCGATTCAATATGGTGATCATCTCTGTGAAATAGTTGTTAAATCCGACTTCCAGTAACAAAGTTATGGGCCGGACACGATTTTGCTGCAAGGTCATACCGTGACCTTGACCTTCAAGGTTGTGACCCAAATGTTCTGCGCGACACGTTGTCTCAATATGGTGATCATTTCTGTGAAATATTTTTTAAATCCAACTTCAAATAACAAAGTTATGGACCAGACACGATTTTACTGCAAGGTCATGCTGTGACCTTGACCTTCAAGGTAGTGACCCAAATGTTGCGTGCGACACGTCGTCTCAATATGGTGATCATTTCTGTGAAATATTTTTAAAATCCAACTTCAAATAACAAAGTTATGGACCGGACACGATTTTGTTGCAAGGTCATGCTCTGACCTTGACCTTCAAGGTAGTGACCCAAATGTTGCGCGCGACACGTCGTCTCAATATGGTGATCATCTCTGTGAAATACTTTTAAAATCCGACTTCAAATAATGAAGTTATGGACCGGACACAATTTTGCTGCAAGGTCATGCTGTGACCTTGACCTTCAAGGAAGCGACCCACATGTTGCAGGCGACACATCCTCTCAATATGGTGATCATTTCTGTGGAATATTTTTTAAATCCGACTTCAAATAACAAAGTTATGGACCGGACACGATTTTGCTGCAAGGTCATGCTGTGACCTTGACCTTCAAGGTAGCGATCCAGATGTTGCGTGCGACATGTCGTCTCAATATGGTGATCATTTCTGTGAAAAAATTTAAAATCCAACTTCAAATAACAAAGTTATGGACCTGACACGATTTTGCTGCAAGGTCATGCTGTGACCTTGACCTTCAAGGTAGCGACCCAAATGTTGCGCGTGACACGTCGTCTCAATATGGTGATCATTTCTGTGAAAAAATTTAAAATCCAACTTCAAATAACAAAGTTATGGACCGGACACGATTTTGCTGCAAGGTCATGCTGTGACCTTGACCTTCAAGGTAGCGACCCAAATGTTGCGCGCGACACGTCTTCTCAATATGGTGATCATTTCTGTGAAATATTTTTAAAATCCGACTTCAAATAATGAAGTTATGGACCGGACACGATTTTGCTGCAAGGTCATGCTGTGACCTTGACCTTCAAGGTAGCGACCCAAATGTTGCGCGCGACACGTCGTCTCAATATGGTGATCACTTCTGTGAAATAATTTTAAAATCCGACTTCAAATAACAAAGTTATGGGCCGGACACGAATTCGGGACGTACGTACGTACGGACTTACCAAAATTTGATGTTTATGAGGCAAATGAGCTCATAAACACCACCTGGACCAACGTCCATAAGCAAAATAAGCTCATAAAAACAAAAAAAAACTCTTACTTTTAAATTTTATGAGTTTATGTTCTTTATCTAACTATGGAATGAGGCTCATAATAATCAAATGTTGTCTCGGAAGGACGGACAACCCGACGACTATATGCTCCCCCGAAATTTTTCGGGGAGAATAAAAATTAAATTTTCTAGCTAAACAAAAGGGCAAAATTTTTCTTTAAATCCATATTACAGTTAAAGGCCTTGGAGAGAGTCTTATTATGCTCTCAAAGAAGAGTATAAAATTTTAACTTGTTTCAAAGCCATATGCATACATGCCATAATTTTTACAATTATTTCCGGGACATTTTTCATTTGGAGTTGGGGCATTGATCAGCAAACGTATCTTTATTAAAATTTACATAGTGGCATACAACCTATATTACCGGTATTTTAATACAACTTGCAAATTTAATAACACCATAAACAAAAGACAGAATTATTAACAGTTTTTCCCAATTCTAAGAGGAAAAAGGAGCATAATTCTGTCAAAATGCTTGATACAGTTACCTCCTCCTGTTTACAGGTTGGGGTCATGATGGTGAACAAGTGTACAAAATTTTAAAGCCATATTTCAATGGACTTTGAAAATATTTCAGGTATTACAAAAACTTTAACGTAAATTCTAAGTGGAAAAAGGAGCATAATTCTGTCAAAATGCTTGATACAGTTACCTCCTCCTGTTTACAGGTTGGGTCATGATGGTTAACAAGTGTACAAAGTTTCAAAGGCATATGTCGAAGGACTTTGAAAATATTTGAGGTATTACAAAAACTTTAACGTAAATTATAAGTCAAAAAAGGGGCATAATTCTGTCAAATGCTTGACACAGTTACCTCCTCCTGTTTACAGGTTGGGGTCATGATGGTGAACAAGTGTACAAAGTTTCAAAGCCATATGTCAATGGACTTTGAAAATATTTGAGGTATTACAAAAACTTTAACGTAAATTATAAGTCGAAAAAGGGGCATAATTCTGTCAAATGCTCGACACAGTTACCTCCTCCTGTATACCGGTTGGGGTCATGATGGTGAACAAGTGTGCCAAGTTTCAAAGGCATATGTCAATGGACTTTGAAAATATTTGAAGTATTACAAAAACTTTAACATAAGTGGTTACGCCAACGCCGACGCTCTGGTGACTACAATAGCTCTACTTATTCTTATCGAATAGTCGAGCTAAAAAGTTTTAGAAGTAAAATTATTGCTACTTTTAACAGCTCAGCACATTGCTTTGTGATCAAATTTAATGAGAAAATGTCAAATTATACCAAACTTTAGAAATATTTTATTTTTACTTTTATTGAACAACAAAATCCTGTTTTTTTTGTTTGTTTTTTTTTTTTTGGGGGGGGGGGGGGGGGGGGGCTGTTGTTAGTGGTTTATAATTTGAATATTCTCAAATTGGAATTATTAAAAATGAAAACTCAATTTTTTTTCTTATCATCACTCATCATAGCCATAATGGACCTGAACCTGTCTGCAGGCACTTTCCAAATCCATATTTATTAAACATAATCACCCCGTCAGGGTTAAGTCAATGTTTCACTGAGTTAGAAACTTTACACCAATTACTCAGTACTGGTCGATTCCAGAAATGAATTCGAAAATGTGTCTATAAGCTTGTTGCTTCCTACACAATTGAACTAAAATAAATTCTGTATAAACCAAACATCATTTTCATGTTCTATATTTAGTTTTGTTAAAGCTGGTTCTAAGAGGAAGGAGGAGGTAGGGGTGGAGGGCTAAGTGTGTGGGAGATGTTGTGTATTCTATTATCCCACATAAAGACTCAAAACAAATATTTCTGCTACTGTCTCATATTTGAACCATTTCTTTCATAGGACAGCTCTTTTAGGGTAATTGTACTGTAAAAATTATAACATTGGCCAATATCGTAGCAAACTGGTTACTTCCGGAACGTTATTTTTTCAAAACCTTGGGTATTAGATTATTTACAGTCACTCATTCCTTAAAAATATGTACTAAAATTAGGTTATAGATAGTTAAGCTTTATTGAATACCAAAAATTGTGAAAAATAAAGTTCCGGAAAAGACCGATTTATTATGACATTGGCCGATGTTAGAAATTTGTTGGAGGGAAAGCATTACAGTAAGACTACCTTAACATAAATGGTACAGTAGGCGAAAAAAAACACACACATACAAAGCACATGATATAGGTTAAATTAAAGAAAAACTAGAGAATTGTTAAAATACAACTTATACTGGAAATAGAATAAAATGCATTTACCTGTGTCACAATTAGTCCCTGTATATCCAGCGTCACATGTGCATAAGTAGGAGTTAACATCGTCAGTACATGCCCCGTTCTGACATGGGTCAGGATTGCAATCATCTATGTCTGAAATATCAATAAAACATGAAAATGAAGAAGGTCCATCTCTAAGCATGGTATATTTTTGCAATAGTTTATTGAAAAAAGTTGTAAATAATGATAAACACACCATCAGTATTTGATTTACCTTACTTTGTTTTGTATTTTCTTGTACATATTATTTCCACTTTTTGATTTTTTTATACTTACTGACAACCTATATTTAACAAAATACAAAGTTTATTAAAGTCCCTTATTTGTTATATTTCATTTTTTTTTATTTGACAATGATCTATCTAAAAAGAACATATTTTACTTTAAAGGAAAAGCTGAAGGACACTATAAGTTTCGAAAGGAAAGTGAATATTTTACAGACTAAAATTAACTACCTGTGCTGCAAGTAGTCCCCGTATAACCAGCAGCACACATGCAGGTGTATGAGTCAACACCATCGGTACATGTTGCCCCGTTCATACATGGGTTAGGACTGCAGTTATCTATGTCTGTAAACAGGAATGAAAAAACATATATTTATTTATGTTTCATGGTGAAATAAGGGCTACATCAATTTTTGTCACAGGTATTTGTACATTTAGGTGCTCATTGAACACTGTACTTTGACCTACTTTTGGCTTCTTATTTATCGTCTTATACTCTTTGAACATTGCAATAAGGTAATTTATCACCACTTTTTGCTTCAAAATAACATCTTTAAGAACACAACTGATGCCATGTCTGTGATCCGTACTCGATAGCAAACACTTTTTTGTGGCCTTTGTGGGCCTCAATGGGCGGATGGATCCTCATTAAGCATAAAATACATACATATACACACATACAAATTACAAAATATCCAAATACTTTACTTGTTTCGCAATCAGTTCCGGTGTATCCAGTAATACAAGCACACGTGTAAGAAGTTCCAGTATCAGTGCACGTTCCTTCATTCAGACACGGGTTAGGATCGCAATTATCTATAACTGCAACTTTTATCAGAATAATTTGTTAAACTATTTATATATGATGTTCATTAATGCGGGGAAGATTTTTAACTTTTGTTGTAAGATGCTTAACCCATATTAATTAATGACATCTATCTTCAACTGTTACAAAATAATTATTCGAACATAAAAAAAAATCGAAGAAAAAAAAAATTATCAAAAAATATGTATCATTAATAATGAATTCTATTTCCCGACACTGGTAACCCAAATTTCGGACATCTTTCTTAAAACACATGAAGAAAAACTGAAAAAGAAATAAGTTCAAAAATGAACATTTGATGGCTAGCATCAAGTTTTACTTGAAACAAAAATGAAGGGGAGATACAACATGGGAAATTTCCTTAAAAGTATTCTCCTCAGTGTAAAGTAGATAAAATTAATATAGAATTTTTTTTCACTTTGAAGTTGTCAAATATCATTTTTATTTATTAATCAGTAATCCACTCAATAGGTAAAATAAAACCATTTATTTATGAACAAATAAAGATGAAAAAATGTTTATCATTGCAGCTTCGTGTTTTTGTTTGCATGAAGCAATTTAAATTAGTTATCAATCAAGTAGTTTGTGATTTAACATATGTCTTTATTAAGGTCAAGTTGTAAGTGCTATATATGCTTTACAGTTATTTTTGAAAGAAATATGTACATTGTATATTTTACAGACTATACATAAGCGTGAATATTTTCTAATCACTATATACCTGTCCCACAAAGAGCCCCTGTAAAACCAGCGGGACACGTACAGCTGAAAGTGTTAACACCGGTACATGTTGCCCCGTTCATACATGGGTTAGGATTGCAGACATCTATGTCTGTAAACAGAAACAAAGATATTTGGTTAGAACTTTCTCAAAACATATTTTTTTTATAATTTTTTTTTATTGTAAAATAAGATCATAAAATAAGGGGCTATGTCCATTTTTGTCAATGGTCGCAGTTCCTTTAGGTGCTCATTGACCACTGTACTTTGACCTACTTTTGGCTCCAAAATTCATCTTTTTGTCCAAGACTCTATGGATTTTTACAGAAGCAAATTATGCGCATTGAGCAAAGATTACATATGTTTTATATTATACACACATACAAATAACAAAGTATTCAAATACTTTACTTGTTCCGCAATCAGTTCCGGTGTATCCGGCAACACAAGCACACGTGTATGAAGTTCCAGTATCAGTACACGTTCCTCCATTCAGACACGGGTTAGGATCGCAATCATCTGTATCTGCAACATTTATCAGAATCAAACGTGAGAATATTAACATATGAGACGAAAATCAGCAATATTTTTCTAATTGAGCACCATTGTCTTTCCGATTTGAAAAAATATGAAAAATTCAAAAATGAAAGATTCGTTTACATCTTTAAGGATTTATTTCGGCAGAAATTTTTTTTCTGAGAAGTGTGTTATCCAACCTACCTTTATCACATCGAGGAATGTTTCTTCCTTTAGTTTAGACTGTCTTACTTTTAAAATAGCTATTCAACCAACCAGTCGCTTTTTCCATTAAAATCAACGATAGAGTTTTATTTATTTATTTTTTAGTGTTATTTTTACAGAAATTTACAATTATCACCCAATATACATACATGTATGGGGTTTCATTATAATGATTTTAGTTTTTCGTTAAGAATAATCCTACATGAAAAGTTCTAAAGAGGACATTTCTTTTACAAAAAATGATAAAATTTAGTCAAACAGATGCTATAGATATGAATCTTGAACAGTGGCCTTAGATCTTGAGTCAATGATAAATTAGATCGGAAGTTACACAAATAGCAAATCAATTATTACATCAACAGAGCACACACCATTATTGCACATCTTTTAATATGCGTGACTCAAGGGATCATGTAAAATTTGCTTGATGCAATGACAGCCCGCTAGGTTAATTACAATGAAACAATAACTGTCAAATGTCATGGTGCTAGCACATGTACAAGAATAAAGAAATGAAAAAGGTTACCTATACGGAAAAAAAGAGATAACGAAAGACGGAATAAAAGAATTAACTGTATACTTTAATGCAAGAATATCGCTAATGCACATTTTTTGTATACTTTAATGCAAAGATAGCGTGAATGCATATTTTTCTGTGCATTAGCATATGAAGAAACCTTTGGACTAAATAAAATCCCTTGCTCTGCTGGCTTCGACTTTAAATACTTTCGTACTTCTGCAGATGTAAATGCAAGACAAGAGCGATCAGTGATCACATGTGTCGCCTCATGATGGCCAATTTCATGTTGGGACAAGTTTTGTGACAGACGGAGAAGTGATCGGAGTAGTGGCGACATAAATTCCTGTAAAGTTAGGATGAAATTGCCCCAGTAGTTTATGAGGAGTAGTGGGGACAAGTTTTGTGACAGACGGACAGACAGACAGACAGTGCACAACAAGACTTGGTACTGATCATTCCTGTTAAGTTTGGATGAAATTGCACCATTAGTTTATGAGGAGTAGTCCTGACAAGCTTTTGTGTATCTGGCAACACACAGAAAAAAAACACCTTTTTATCAAAGGGCCATAACTCGGCCAAAAATCATTCAACCGGAAAACCCGTGCAATATGCCCAAGGACTTGAGCTACAGATCAATCCTGTAAAGTTTCATTGAAATTGCATTAGTGGTATAAGAGAAATAGTCCGGACAAACTTTAAAAATAAAAATTATTAAAGGGCCATAACTCTTACAAAAATCATTGAACCGGAAAATGCCGACGATATGCACAACTAGACTTAGTACCATTCCTGTAAAGTTTGGATAAATTTGAACAAGTAGTTTATGAGGAGTAGTCTGGACAAGCTTTTGTGTATCTGGCAACACACAGAAAAAACACCTTTTTATCAAAGGGCTATAACTCTGACAAAAATCATTGAACCCGGAAAATGCTGACAATATGCACAACTAGACTTGGTACTGATCATTTCTGTAAAATTTGGATGAAATTGCACCAGTAGTTTATGAGGAGTAGTCCGGACAAGTTTTGTGATGGACGGACAGACGGACGGACAGACGTCAGAGAAGTGATCCCTATATGTCGCCACTACTCCGTAGAGGCGACACAAAAAACGGTTCTTTAACCATTTTTTTGTATTCTGAAGTAGTGACACATAGGTATTTGTAAAAACATACTTTATGTTATACTTTTTTATTAATACATTTGAAGGTAACATAATTAAGACTCAATCTATGTTTGAATACTCTTTAGTAACTATCTACCTGTCTCACAGTTACACCCTGTATATCCAGAGGCACACATGCACGTATAGGAGTCAATGCCGTCACTACATGTTGCCCCGTTCTGGCATGGATCAAGATCGCAGTAATCTATGTCTGTTAATTGAAACAAAATGTCAAACAAAATTAGAACCACGTCTTTAGTCTTTTTTTCCAATAAAAAGATACAAACATTATTACTTTAGCATATATTGAGACAATACATGATAATAAAATTATTTATGTTTGTAAATGGTACTATTATATTATTGTCCTCCATCTTCCTAAGTATGTCAGCATTCACTGCCCACTTAGTCTTAGCCACTGTTTACACCCAAGCTACTGGTATGTTATAATGAGTATAAAAGAAGTAAAATGGAATTATTCATGTCAGTAAAGACTACAAGAGAATATATGTGATATTGTGAAATGCTTTACCAATCTGGCAATTGGTTCCGGTATATCCCGTGACACATGCGCAGCTGTAAGTGTCAACACCATCAGAACATGTTCCTAAGTTAAGACATGGATTAGGACTACAGTTGTCAATGTCTGAAACAGTAATGCAAAGACAGAATAATAAAAACGCAGTGTTATGTAAAAAGAGGATAACTTATTCGAATATACAGTACATGTAATTCAAGGATTAAGTCTTAGCCATTGTTTACACCCAAGCTACTAGTATGGTATAATGAGTATAAAAGAAATAAAATGGAATTAATAAAATTAATGTCAGAAAGACTAAACGAGAATATATGTGATATTGTAAAATTCTTTACCAATCTCGCAATTGGTTCCAGTATATCCATTAGCACAGGTACAGCTGTAAGTGTTGACATCATCAGAACATGTTCCTAAGTTTAGACATGGATTAGGACTACAGTTGTCAATGTCTGAAACAGAAATGCAAAGACGGAATAATAAAAACCCAGTGTTCTGTAAAAACAGAACAAAAATATGTAATTCAAGAATGACCTAAACAGTGCTTGTGAAATAATTGGTACTCAGTATTGAATAATAAACTCTTTTTTCTACACCATCAATTTTTGAAAGAGCAAAACATCAAATTAAAGAAAATAGTCAAAATCAAGAAGTTTTTTTTATGCTAAATTGGTAAAATTAGACCCAATAATGATTTATATTTAACCTCATAGTATAATTGCTGGAACTTCATTTGGGTTCATTTTATAAGGAATGATATAATATTGATTATTGTTCTTTTACATTATTTATTTCACACTATGAATTATGTAAAATAACAAGTAAAAGGATGCATTGTTTTCATGATTGGTTGTTTTATTGTTAAAATAAAATTTAATAAAAAAAAACAAATAGGAATGTATAAACTAAATGTTATGCACATTTCTTACCTGTGTCACATTTAGTCCCCGTATAACCATCAGCACAGGTGCAACTGTAAGTGTCAACATCATCCGTACATGTTGCCCCATTCAGACATGGATCAGGATCACAGTCATCTATGTCTGTATGTACATAAAATATTGAAGTATTCTGCATGGAAACGATTAAATTTCAAGAGTTACTTATTTCCCATTCATTAGGGTAGAACATTACTAAATTTTGGCCGATTTATGTAAAAAGGTCCCGTGACAACAAAATGTGCTTACATAAACCATAAATGTGAACTTGTCCAAACTAAGCATTGAAAATTTGATCATTCTTGTTTACTTTCTTATGTCATATTTCTGAACTTTACTTCGACTAAATCAACAGCCATGTATTCTTATTCCGATACCTACAGCAAAACTTAAAGCAACATAGTTATTATGCAAAACAAACATTTTCCTTTCTCCCTTATGCTTTTCCCACCTTCAATTAGCGCATAAAATTAAATAAGCCCTTTCAATTTCAAAATCAAATAAGGTAATTTTTTCAAATGCTGATAAATATAAAAAAATCCTTACAAGTCAAATTTATAGTTATGATAATAAATTTCCTTGACTGAAACTGAAAGTCATCATCAGCAAAACTATTTTTTACAACAAAATGTAATCGATCGTGATAAATGTGGTTTAACCATTCTTTGGTACCTTTACTACAAGTACTGGAAATAGGAAGTTAAATAGCCAGTAAAGTAACCGGATAGAGATTACGACCTAAAAAGGTAACGGACATTATTTATGTATTTATCAACTAAAGTCATGTCATGCAATACTTGTTGCGCAATTTGTTCCGGTGTATCCAGCAATACAGGTACAGGTGTAGGTGCTTCCATTATCAGTACATGTTGCCCCGTTCAGACATGGGTCAGGATTACAGTCATCTATTTCTGAAACGTGTATAAAAAAGTTTGTTAGAATTATAGTAATACGCGTGTTCCAGCGACATATGAAACTCGATCTAGTTCCGAATGTTTTGATTGATCCGTATGGTAACGACATTATCGTCATTTCTAAATGTATCCTTTTTAATTCACATTTGATTAAAAAAAAACTAAACTTTCTTGTTTATGAATTTTTTTTTGTTTGCATTAAATTCCCACCAACATTTTAAAGGCCTTTCGGCATCACTGGTGTGTAGGCCGGACTCGAACCCATATCTATGAGGAGCATGTGATATAATTTTCGACAGATGTGGCCATATAACCTAATAATCACAAAACTTTTGGACAACAATCAGGTTACCTGTCTCACAATTGGTCCCCGTATATCCGGCAGCGCACGTGCAGGTGTGAGAGACGAGGCCATCGGTACATGTTGCACCATTCAAACATGGATCAGGGCTGCAGTAATTTATGTCTGTGTAAATGTAAATTGAAACATAAGGCCAACATTAATGAGTTGAGTTTCACTTTTGTTGCCTTTTCAAAATGGTTTTATCCATCTTATATACATATAATCTATTTATAACCAAAACTGGTGAATTAGTCTTTGTAATTTGAGAAAATTTTCTCTAATTTATCAATTTTTTTTATTTTATCCATTTTTTCCCCATTTTCTTGATTTTGAGGTTTGAAAAAAATCGTTTTCCTTAAGAAACAGAAGGTTTTGTGTTCTCAAAGAAACAATACACGCTAATCTGTTTTAGTTTTTTTTCCTGTAATTCTATTAATACCACACAATGACAAAATTGATAATGGAAGTTGGGAAAACTACCTTTAATAAGAATCAATTCAAAACTAGTTTTTAAAAAGTTAACCATTACTTGGTGTTTATTGAATGTGTAAGTTTATAATGGAAAACAGCCCTTACGGAATTCACTTATAAGTCACTTATAGGCTATTTTATATGTAGATTATACTTCACTTAGTCAATTCACCTATAAGTCAAGTATATGTATTTTAAATGCAAATTAGATGTAAGTGCAGTATATGTCTGGCATTTTGACATATAAGTGAAGTATAAGTTATATATAAGTCACATATATGTGACATGTAAGTCAAAGATATGCTCAACTTATAAGTAACATATAAGTGACTTATATGTTACATATAAGTGACTTATATGTTACATATAAGTGACTTAATATAAGTCACTTATAAGTAACATATAAGTCACATGTAAGTCGCATATATGTTGCTTGATGTCAAAAAAGCTTGAAATAAAATAAAAGTTTAGTAATTTAATTTCAAAAATGTTTATTAATTTATATTCATAGTCATATAAATGAGCAAAATACAAAATTCAACATACATATCCTTCAGTTCAATCATCTTACATTCACTATAACAAAAACAATATTCATTTGTAACAGCAAGTTTTTGTTTTTTACTGGTTTTCTTGGAATCAAACACTTTATTTATACAATTATTTTGCTGGAAGTCTGTCGGTGAGGAACTATTCAAATCATAAATTTGATCAAATGTTTCTGATTATTCAAACTACTATTTCTTTTATTGATGTCTGTTTCAGTGCTCTGATTCTGTTTCCTCGGAGAACTTCATGTGGCTGTGTTCACCTTTAAAGATAAAATTCATAATTAATTAAAAAAGATGTGGAATAAATTCCGACCATTGTAAATGCAGTTATATTTCATATTTTGTATATCATCAAACTATATTAGCTATTTATGCTTATGCATATACAAATATACTAAGTTACACAGTATCTCATTTTAGTGCACAAGTCAACAGTGTTGTTTAAGAATTGCTAAAAGTCTCTATAAGAATTGATTAACAGCACTATTTGCAACAACATTTATTATGCTCTTTTCTGTGAAAGATTTAGAGCAGTAAGTATAGAGATTAAAAAAACATACCTTTTCAGGCTCAATACTGCATATCATTATTCACCTGGCATCTCAAAGTAAGAACTGGTCCCACTAGCCTGCAATGTATGTAAAATGTAATATCAGAAATCTCCATTGAAAACAACAATAAAATGTTAAATGATTATGATGACCCTGTCTTATTCAGCTGCATAAAACTACTGATTGTACTATTTAGTTCAAATAATATAACTATTAAATCTAGATTTAAATCAATTACAAGTATTAGTAAATCTAAAATAAAAACAGCCTTGATCTCTCAAGTTACAAATTTTAGTTTGCTGCCATCTTACTTTGATTGTTTAATATATAACCTGTATCAATTCTGCATAAATGTAACTCAAAGGTATTTACCTGATTTTGTTGTATATCTTCTTGTCCAAGGTGATTCTTCTTGTCATTCTTATTTACCATAACTATACTTAAACATCTTAAACAAAACAATATCTCTAAATTTCCTAAAACATCAAGTAGATTCTCTGTGATTTCCACCAGCTTGCTAACCTAAATGTTTCAGACTTACAACTGTGTACCTGGGCAGGTCCAATGTTATGTGCAACAGGGTAAATCCAAAAATCAAAGCACTCATCAGTACTATTTTACAATCATTGAATGTGAAAAAAAATCAAACAACTAATAGATATGTAAAGTTTAAAAATCATTATACATTTTTGAAAAAGAAAATGCAATGTCATTTTTTACAAATTCAGGATAGGAAATGTTATCTTTCCCCAAAATAATCACATGGAACAGTCTGATTTGTAGGAATGACCAGTCAAAAAATTAGTCATGCACATATGGTGGCAAAGGCAGGTGGCCAGTTTTATCAGACCTCTGATCTATGTGGTGTATCAGTGGATGTAGAAAATATAAGCAATCTTCAGGCATATTGGTTCCTTGATTTTATATAGATTAAAAGGGCAATATAAACTGTTTATTTCAAGCACTGTTTGTTTAATGTTTAAATATCTAAAATACACTAGGCCTAAATGTCTTAAAAATAACACTTGTATATTAAAATAAAAATACACCTCTTTTTCTTGTTAGAATATCTTACTTCAGCGAAATTAGGTCTGTAAGAAGTACAGTAGGTAAAAACATATAGATTTCAATGTCTGTTTCAAGTTAGAAAAAAAACAAGAGTAGAATTATGCCTTGGGTGACTTTTATGTGAAATATTTTCCTTGTGAAAAGAAATGACATGGAATTTCATTTCTGTCCATGGTAGCCTAGAAATCACTGATTGAATGCCATTTCTGTCCCAATTCCGCACAGAATATGTACCAAAATTTTTTACAGGTAATATACTTAATTGATAATCATTTTTTCTATTATCTTATTTAAAAACCCCCAGCTGTGTTCAAAAATTAATAAGCAACATTTAAAAAAAAATCTTAATTGTTTGTGATTAAGGTCTAAGATTATAGTATTTTAAATTCTGAGTATTTTGATACCCATTGTGTTAAAGCAAAGAATTACAAATCAACTTCAATAAATTTTACCGATTTTCTCATGTTTTTGTACTTAGTCATTTTTTCAGCTTTGCTCAGTAATAAAAAGTCTCGCAAAAGTTCTAAGTTTTCACTTATATCTAACATAGAAACTGGTTACTTCAAACTTCACCAGTATAAGGCACTTATAGGTGACTTGTATGTGACTTATATGTTGGGGAAAAAATGGCCAAAAGTGACTTATATGTAGCATATACCTATAACTGACTTAGACAGGTTTTTTAGACTAAGGTGATTTATAAGTGACTTATATGTAACTTATAGTTCTCTTATAGGTCAAGTATAAGTTGCATATAAGAAACATATAAGTCACTTAAAGTCATTTTGGTAAGGGAGGAGCCATACTTTCAAGGTCCTTATAATTATATTGAATATACTTCATCTGGAGTGCTTCTATTTGTTTCATTTAACACGTCACTTTGAAAGTATATACACACTTTTTATATACTAGAGTCGGCTATTTCAACATACAGAAATGGAGGATCCTCATGAAGTTTGCTATTATATGATCAAACAGTGGGAGTTCTTGATAAAAAAAAAGCTTTCTTATAATTCATTAAAATCAAAAAGTGACATAACTTGGAATTCATAAATCCCCCGATATTATATAATATACTGATTAGACCTGAAATACCACTTTCAACAAACTTATGTCCTTTTCACTACAAAACTTTACCATCTAAAAGTCACAACGGTCAGAAAATAAACTAAAGGGCAGCACTTTACTTGATATACATATACATATAGTTACATTTTACATGCGAAAAAAAAACAACAAAGGTTCATTATGAATTTTCCTCCCGAAATGTTTTATTTTTGAAATCTTGATACAGTTCTCCAAAAAATAGTCATTTGCCATTTAAATGAACTTCTGTTCTGTTGTTATAGTGAATAAGTATTTTGTATGGAAGTCAAAATACTACTTTGTTTACATTTTGCTACCTTTATGGCACATTATTGCACATTCAGCACTATTGTAATCAGATGTTTAAAACATCTACATGTAATAAGCTCTAAATTCTATCGTTAAAACATTATAAACACATGTTTTACCTTTCCAAAGAATTAAAAAAAAATGGATTTCTTAGGCATAATTTAATGTCAGACCTTGTGCTGTGTTAGTTTTTATACCTGTTTCGCAATTGACCCCAGTGTATCCGGCCAGGCATTCGCAGATGTAGGAGTCAACGTCGTCAGTGCATCCTGCCCCGTTCTGGCATGGGTTAGGAGAGCATTCATTTATGTCTGAGGGGTGCATTGAACATGGAAATATTATTACATATTAGTTCTCGTCATCACATTTAACTTAAATGACGATAATCATCGAAGCGTCACATAGAATTAGAAATGACTGTTATCTTCAAGAAATCTGAAGAATGCACGAAGGTGGAACCCATAATGATCTTAAAATTGAGCATTTTTGCCTCGTTTTTTTTTTTTTAAATTAGGTTTTACATGGCACCAAAGCTGTTTATTTCAACTTTGACGACTTTTAAGCTTTATTGGTGGAGGAAGAACTATTCCAGGCAAACAGACACCTGAGTTAAGAACCCAGAACTATCTCATGAAGAATCAATCTGACGATGGTCAGAGGTAGTGGTCTGAATTCAACGACCGTAACCACTCAGCCACAGACGCTCTAATGTTGTTATAAATCCAATACGAACCCAATACAATACTTTTTGACTAGATTCAAGTACAAGCAGCTAAACATATCATTTATAGTTAAATTTTTAAACTCATTTTCTGCTCAAAAATGTTGTGTTAGTAAGTCATGAACAATATTTTGTTTCATTATTTGATTGGGTTTTAAGTCGCATTGACACAGTAAAGGTCAGATGGCGACGTTCCATCTTTACTGATGGAGAAAGACATCAGGTGCCCTTCCATACTTTATATCAGGCACGAATGGGCACCTGAGTAGAACCACCGATGTCCTGTAAGCTAGCTGGCTGGATTGCTTCCTCGCATGAAAGAATCAAAAGTCCCTATCGGGACTTGCACCCCAAGGCGCAAGTGGTTTGAAGTCAACGACCTTAACCACTTGGCCACAGACAGCCCAGAACATTATCGTAAACCTATCTTGAAACTGCATTACCTGTCTCACAAATTGTCCCTGTATATCCAGCGAGACACGTGCAGGAATAGGAGTCAACATCGTCCACACATGTTGCACCGTTCTGACATGGGTCGGGATTGCAATCGTCAATATCTGTTTTACATAACTAATGTATGAATACATTTTTTGCAAGAAAAATACTCAAACTTTTTCAAACGTGCATTGATTGATTGATTTTCTTTAGACCAGGCGGTCAAGGATAACCTACAAAAGTGCAAGCACTTATTTCCAGTAGGGACCTTACCTCAGCAGACTGTAGAGATAGCTATGAGATACAAGGAAATCCGGGAACCAGTCCCTAGCTCTTATTGAATAGATTCCTTGGTTCTTAATTTTACACGCCCAGTGTATAGCACTGATACATGCGAGGATTACCTGGGTATCGTACCAGTAAACCTCTAGTTAGGTGGGAAACACTGAAAGTGTTTCTGAAAAATCCCAAGGGTGTTACCCAGGATCGGACCCGGAACCTCAGGAGTGACAGTCAGTGGACTAACCAACTGAGCTGTCGCGCCATTAAAAGTAAGGTGCACATTGGCTACTTTTTCTTGACCGCCTTCGATAGATCAGTTCTAAAATTGGTACTGAACGTTACATTAAATGTTTATTTTTATATTTACCCCTTTATGTTCTGACTAAATATCATACAGACGTTTTGAACAAGAATGTATTATATATACTTTCTTATATTAAAGTAATGATAAAAAAATAACATACTTAATTATATTGTTTATTCTATTAAATGTTACTAGGTAAAGAATTATTAAAAGATAATTGATTGTTAAATGAGTACACATACCAGTGTCACAATAAGTTCCCGTATATCCTGGACTGCACGTGCAAGTGTAGGAATTTAAACCGTCATTGCATGTTGCTCCATTTTGACACATGTTGCTCGCACAGTCATCAATATCTGTTGTTCAAAGAAAAAAATATATGTGCAAACATGCAAAAATATATGAGCACATCATGCTAAAATATATGTGCACGTCATGCGGAAACAATTATGCGCAACATGCAAAAATATATATGCGCACAATTTAAGTTTTACATTCACGAGGGACTACTTTATAAATGGGACTTAGGAAAGGAAAGTCAAAGTGAATGTTTATTCAAACTATTGCCCTAGATATGAAATAAGAATTCAATTTTACTTAAAACATAATTTTTTTTAAAAATTATTAACCATGAGAATTTGATAGAGTAGTACTCTGGTAATCTTGTCACAAAACAAGAGCATCTTTGAAGCAAATCCAAACTGTATTATTTTGCTATGTATATAAAAATTGTGCCCGTTTAATGAAAAAGTTGCCCCAAAAAAAGGTTGTTACTTATGTCACAATGATCCCCTGTATATCCAATGACACAGTCACATGTGTATGTATTTACTCCGTCAATACACGTTGCTCCATTGTGACATGGGTTCTGGCTACAGGAATCTATATCTTTAGATACGGAAAAAAAGATAAGAAAACTGTTTCAATATAAACAATTTAAGTGCATTTATTGTAAATAAAATAACAACCAGCCATATTGGACTAGCTAAGGTCAGACAAGCGGGCATATGATGTGCAATGTTTCCAGGAACTGGCGGCTGTTCAAGTTTTCAATTTTGGTGTTGAAATCCCTTACATTACAAGTGAGATGTTCCAAATTCATAGAATAGTTAGAGTCCACTCTAAAAATGCAGCAGTGTAAGGGTGGGCAGAGTGGTTGACGTGTCGGACTAGTATTCTAAGAATTGCTGGTCGCATGGGTTCAAATTCCATAAGGGGCAAGCCATTGTTGTCTTGATCAAGAATTTTCACACTCATTGCTTAGTACTGGTTGGTTCCAGGAATGGAATCGAGAGTTTTTCAATCCAACACAATTTAACTAAAATAAATAAATATTATCTAATAAGGTTAAAATATTATAATAAATAATCGATATGTTTACCTATTTCACATAAAGTTCCGGTGTATCCAGGTACACATGAACATGTGTAAGAATTAACCCCATCAATACACGTTGCCCCATTCTGACATTGGTTTGGACTGCAATCGTCTATGTCTATAAATATACAAAAATTATCTCCATAGAAACACCTAAAGGAAATTTAAAAACATATGGAATCTGGTACTTTCTCTATGAATTTTAGCATGATTCAAAAAAAAAAAAAAATCCGAAAAGAAAACAATAAAATCATATGCTTACTGAAAATGGAAAATAAAGATAAAGGCCACTCTTTCAACCGCAAAAAGTCATAACAATGTGATATCACATTAAGTATTCATTCAGTACGTACATTTATGTTATTACCTATTGCTCTGTGACACTTCATTTCAAAACAACTCATCTGAATTTAAAATCTCAAGCATGAAATCTGAACGCTAAGATCTGCTAAGAGATTTTTGTGGACACATTTTACATAACCAAAAACATTCTGATAACCAATATTTTCCCAATTCATGCCAAAAAAACATACACTACATGTCTATTAATGACGTTATATTGAGAGTATATTCTTGAAAAGGGAGAATTCTTCAAAAGCAATAAATAAAAAAAGTAGGTGAAAAAAGCAAACGCAGCGTGATTGAGTCTGTCCATGAGAAAAATCACGGAAAGGACATCAAATCTCGTGGATAATCGCCGCGCATGTCCGATCATAGGATATAAAAAATACGATGTATTGGCTAACATTTATAAGAGTTAAACTTTTATTTGTTGTTTCTCACTGTGGGCATTAAATTACCTTGATAAGTCTTTATCTCCTACTTTGTTTCCAAATAATAAAACTACATGACCTATGGTGTCCCATTAGGGCCATCGTGACACACAACTCAAAACAACAAAAACATGAACATACATTAGTGAAAAGTCGAAAATACGATGATTAAAAGTCGAAAGCAGGATGGTTAAAACTCAACATAATAACATGTTTTCATATCGTACTTTCGAGTTATGTTGTGTCGTGATGGCCCTAACGGGACACCGTATAAAACATTTTTAAACTCTACCTTGCTGAAATAAAAAGTGATAATTATACTTTGCAAAAAGTATAGAGCCAGATCAGTCACATCCCCACAGTCTGGTTGCTACATACTGTTGGCTGAATAACTTAGTCCGCAAAGTTGATAATGGACAGTTCCGTAAAATTAAAATACCTTTGACAGGAATTCAGTTTCCATCCTTCATGTCCTTAATCATAAACCAATACATTGTAATAAATAATGTATATGCATGTGAAACTGACCTCAACTCAATGATGTATAAAAAAGAGGGTTTTATACATCACAAATATTATCAAATTTACTTGTTTCACACATTGTCCCGGTATATCCCAGCAGACACGTGCACGTGTAGGAAAGATGTCCATCGTGGCAAGTTGCACCGTTCTGACACGGGTTTGGACTACATTCGTCAGTGCCTAAACAAATGTTTGAACAATTAATAAAAAACACAACACAATTAAATGTTTTGTTTAAAAAAATATACAAGACAAAGCAATATCTTTAAAGGGACTCCACTGAGGATTTTTTGACATGACGGGACTGGAAATGATTTTTCGAACGTTATGTTCCATTTCATGTAGGTTTAAAATTTAAATCAATAACTTGTTTGCAAAATTCAGATCATTCGCTCACTCTGTTTTTCAGGAATCTAAATCGTTAATCTTATTGTTAAAAAAGAAACCAAAATTGAAAATTTCATTCCAATCAGGCTCAAATAGCATAAAAATGCGATTTTCAATTCATTTCTATGTATATTTTTTAAATTATCTTTGCATATCTTTCAGTTTTCAGTGCTCTAGCTGATGGATGTAAAAAATTAATTATATTTTATTGTTTTTCAGGCTTTTGGACCTCAGTGGAGTCCCTTTAAAGAAGTCTTACTGTTTTATCTAAAATGATCACATACATATGCAAAGTATATCTTAATCTCTTTTCAAGGCAAATTTTTTCTTTCAGCTGTAGAATGGGCAAACATGTGTTTAATATTGTGATTATTATTGATTAAGACCATGTAAGTAAGTTTATTGCTAGTAGAAAACAGCTAATGTGAAGAAAAACTAGAACTCCGCGAGTCGGATGTGTCGCCTTGTGAACAATGTAGTTTAGGAGAAATAGCCAGGACAAAAATGAAATATGAAAAATAGCAATAACTAAAAAAATAATAAGTGCAGAGCAGCAGTTTCTGTGCACTGCACTTCTTATCAATAAGATCTATCATTCTATGATGTTTCAAGTCCATAGCTTTCATACTTGAGGAGAAATGACCAGGACAAAAATAAAGTAAGAAAATCAACAAAGGGCAATAACTCAAAAAATAAGAAATGCAGAGTATCAGTTCTTATGCACTGCACTTTTTCTTCATGAGATCTATCATCCTATGAAGTTTCAAGTCCATAACTTTTATACTTTCGGAGAAATGGCCTGGACAAAAATTAAGTATGAAAAATAACAAAGGGCCATAACTCGAAAATTAAGAAATGCAGAGTACCGATTCATGTGCACTGCACTTCTTCTTAATGAGATCTATCATCCTATGAAGTTTCAAGTCCATAGCTTTTATTCTTAAGGAGAAATGGCCAGGACAAAATTAAAGTATGAAAATAAACAAAGGGCAATAACTCAAAAAATAAGAAATGCAGAGTAACTGTTCTTGTGCACTGCACTTCTTCTTAATGAGAGCTATCAGGGCCAAAAAACCCTTCTTTGTAGAGGCCGAATATAGGCTGCTTCCCCAACCAAACTAGCCTCTTTTTTTCCCCAGTTTGGTCCTCAAAACTCCCCAGTCTTTTGACATTTCCCATAGAATTAAGAATAAAGTTAAATAATGGTGTTGAATTAAGGTCTTTTACTGCCTTATTTGTATTTCCCAGTGTTTTTTTGCTTTTCTATTTTGAAGACCTTGTTAAAAGTTTGTGTTAAATTTGAGACCCCTTTTCCCAAAGTATGCCAAAATCATGCATATTTTCCCCAAGAAAAAGGCTGAGGCCCCTTCCCCAAAAATGGTGTTTTGGCCCTGGCTATCATCCTATGAAGTTTCAAGTCCATGGCTTTTATACATTAGGAGAAATAGCCCGGACAAAAATAAAGTATGAAAATTAACAAAGGGCAATAACTCAAAAATTAGGAAGTGCAGAGTACCGGTTCTTGTGCACTGCACTACTTCTTAATGAGATCTATCATCATATGAAGTTTCAAGTCCATAGCTTTTTTAGTTGAAGAGAAATGGCCCGGACAAAATTAAAGTATGAAAATTAACAAAGGGCAATAACTCAAAAAATAAGAACTGCAGAGTACCGGTCCTTGTGCACTGCACTCCGGGTTATTGAAAGAAGCATGCATACCAAGTTTGAAGTCAATCAGACTTATAGTGACTGAGTTATGCTCCGGACAATCTTTAGGGGACGCCGACGCTGACAACGCCGCCGCCGCCGACACAGACGCCGCCGAAAAGTAACCCCTATATGTCACCTTTTCAAGGCGACACAAAAATGAGATAAAGGTGGCAAAATATAAAACAAAATGGTACTTTGACTTTCACCTCAACATCAATGTACTCATTACCAAAACGTTGCCGTATATAATTTAACTATATGGTAAATGGGCAAATGTTTTGAAACTGTAACAAGTAATCTAAAATAAAAAGTCTCAGAAAAATTTTTTTTTTTTAGCTTTATGTCCTTTAATGGCTCCTACATTCAAATATTTTTGTAAATTGATTGCAAGATATAGGGTATAAATCAATTTGACGTTGAAGGAAAAACTCCACTTTTTAGAGAAGAGCTAGCTAGCTTCTTTCCTCACCTTTGTTTTAACTCATATGATTATTATTTAAAAGATAAAACAAACAATATTACCTAGTTCACAATTTGTCCCAGTATATCCAGGGCTGCACGTGCAAGTGTAAGTATTAACACCATCATTACACGTGCCGCTGTTCTGACAGGGATTTGGGCTGCATTCATCTATTTCTGTAGAACAAAAGAACAGGGTTTTTTTTATCAAACATTGCCTCAATCAAGTACAAACAAGCTTTGTTTATTTTTCAGCCATAGTCTATTTGTTTTAACATTAACTTTCGTTATATTCAGATACTATTCGCCATCCCCTTTCAGGTATATACTGGACATATAATTTGCATTGTATGCTATGTAGTTGCTACATATTAGAAATATGGTTTAAGTTTAAATTAAACGTTTAAATCTGGTTTACAGATGAGTGTTCTTATTCTATAGTTACGTTTTATATGGTTTCGTATAATAAAAAAAATCACTCTTATTTCATTGCCATGCCTTTATGATCTTTGAATAATGGCCATACATTGTTTTCATACATTTGTCGGCATACTTTAGAAAGAATTAAAACAAATACTTATATTGGTTATAAATCTGATGCTCTTATTTCAAACATGATCCTTATAATGGTGATATGATTACCATAATGGTGACATGATTCTTATATTGCTGATATAATGGTAATGCTTTGTGATGTGATGCTAACATTGGAGATATGATGCTTAGTTTGGTGAAATGATGCCCATAAATGTGACAAAATGCTAATATTGGTGATATGATGCTTGTATTGGTGACATGATGCTTATAGTGCTGATATGATGCTGATATTGGTGATATTATGCTCCTTTTGGCAATAACAAAGCATCACAATGCTAATATCAGCCATATAGATTTAAATATATATAGATATGATGCTTATATTCATTAAATAATGATAATACTTGTGAATAAAATGTTAATATATTGGTGACATGATGTTAATATTGGTGACATGATGCTAATAATGGTGACATGATACTTATTTATTTACTTACCAGTATCACAGTTTATGCCAGTATATCCCGGACATACACAGATATATGAATTGCCATAATTGAAACAAGCACCGTTCACACAAGGATTCTGCTGGCACGCTGAAGCTCCTGTCACTATATGTTATACAAAGTTTCCAAAATTAGGATTTGCATATCTTTAATTGGTGTTTTATGTTATTTTAAACGATTAAATCACTCTTAATAAAAGCTATTCTAAATGCAAGATTCTTACGATGAAATCATATTTTTTAAACTGTTATTGTGTTTTTCATTTAAATCATCAATTATTAGTAGTTACACTAGAGTATTCATTATCTTGTTTTTTTTTCTCCCTTTTTGTTTATCGGTTTAATGTAAGTCCTTATTTTGATACAAAAGTATTGTTAACTTTAATTATGAAACAGTAATGTTTTTTTTTTTCTATACCCTTAGTCTACAGGAACCAAAAAGAAAAAGATAAGCCTTAATGTTAACAATGTGGTGTTGGTAGTTTTCACTCCAGATCACGCCAATTGGCCACATTGAATTTACCAGAGCACTGTTCAGCCACAGCAACATTTCTGGGAGGCTGTCAAGCAGTGAACCAGATCTAGTTACCTTCACTTTGATCATAGAAAGGATTTCATGATCAATTACAACGAAAGTGACCTGCACTGTTTGACTGTTAAAATTTCAAAGGTTGGGTAAACTTTAATTGGACTCTTGCAATTTTAATATAGGCCAAATCCATCATATAAATTCAGCAGGCAAAGGATAATAAATTAAGCAAATATGTTAAATAACTTACAGATCTGACAATTTCGTCCAGCGTATCCATACAGGCACGAGCAGGTATATGTGTAACCACGATCTGTGCATATTCCACTATTTTGACAGGGGTTTGGACTACAATCATCAATTTCTAACGGAAAGAAAAAACAAAACATATTATAATTTAATAAAGGAATCTTTTTTTAGGTATCTACCAGGGTCGTTGATTTTACTAAAATTAAGTTTGGGTTGATTTATAGGGGGTTTGGAGGCATGAAACCACAGGGTTTTGATTTTGCTTTGGAATATCTGAGGTGTGTTTTAATTTTTATTTATTGCAATTAAGGTTTTTTTTAAATTTTTTCACTTGACTAACATTTTAGACCGTGGCCTGCAACCCTGTCTTCTGATCACTGCTGGAACGAGCGTGGATTTATGATATTGACTTTTAGGAAGATATACGACGATCTACGTATCTAGAAGGGGTTGTCTTGTATCTCAAGCCTCCGGGCTCAGCAATCGTGTGTTTTAACACTACTTGTGTCTCAACCACGCTCCTCGTATGACAAAAGTGCTTCTAAATTCTAAGCCAACTCGAGAATGGATGGTTCAAATAAGTTTTAATTTCTTTAAAATTTAGCTAAGATATATAGCTATATAAGAGCACTTCTGAGAAAGCTAAAGTATGTTTCAATATTTAAATATTAGTAAAACAATTATACCGTATTAACGAGAAAATAATCTCGTTATTAAAAGTTTTGTTATTATTACGATTTAGTACAGTGATCCCCTTAACTCGAACTTGGATACATCGAACATTCGGTTATAACAAACCCTTCTGCCTCCCGATTTTTCTCCATCTTTATATAAAGACTGTGTTTTATTGTATACTCGCTAATAGAATAAACTCAGTTATAAAACACTTAATATTCAAGTCCTAAACAATCAGATATACCACTGTTATTCAGTTGTAAAAACATTCACTGAATATTTCTTAATTTTAAAGAGATATGTCAACAAAAACAGAAAATAGAGAAATATGGAATGGCCTACCTGTTTCACAAACGGAGCCTGTATACCCTGGCCTACATGCACAGTAAAATGACAAGTCAATATTGTAACAATTTCCATTCTCACAGATGTTCTGACTGCATGCACTTTGTGACAACACTGTATTGTAAAAAAATGAGCCGCGTCATGACAAAACCAACATAATGGGTTTGCAACCAGCATGGATCCAGACCAGCCTGCGCATCCGCTCAGTCTTATCAGAATCCATGCTGTTCCCTATCAGTTTTTCTACTTATAATAGGGTTTGTAAGCGAACAGCAGATGCGCAGGCTGGTCTGGATCCATGCTGGTTGCAAACGCACTATGTTGGTTATGTCATGACGCGGCTCAAATTGTATAGTGCTGAGATGTATATTAACGTCAGAGATCGAATATTATAAGCTACAGCGGTAAAATACGTTTTGATTGGATAAAACAGGAAGAAATGTTTCTATACAAACCAAAATCAATCGTCGGATACCCACGGTTGATTAACATATTACATAGCATGATGTTACGGTACAGCCATGGGTATCCTTCGGTGACCAACATCTTATATATCTAACATATATCACATTACCTTTGTTTGTTATTTTATTATACATTTGTTTATCACACGTTTGCTGATTCTGAACATTTTGGCTTTGGTTGTGGTATTTCTCTTATTTTTCTTCTTTTTTTTTAAGATAAATGATCTTTATACGAGGGTTGTCCCAAAAGTCTGTGACAAATTGTATAGACGATTCATTTTTAACGCCAATAGAAAATAATTCACACATATAACCGTTAAGTTTATTATTTAACATTACAACAAATCATTTACAAAAATTTTACTCTAGTTACTTAGAAATTTTCAGTATTAACAAAATTGGTTTGAGTAACCAGCGCATGTCAAATAATTTGCATTTTGTTATGAATAGGCTAAAATTAATTACGTATATTTGAAATATCTGATGATGTGTCTGCACAATGTCACGTTGACTACCTCTGCTAATATGTTTACATCATCCTAGAAAATTTTATTTAAATAACTTAAGAAAAGAAAAAGATACAAATAATTGAAAATAGGAAAGTTAAAATGGCGACGTTCGAAGAATTTGCGGCGCAGTGAACAGGTCACTAAGGTTTTATGACTATTTCGTGATGACAAATGTTACGATTTTCAACAAATATACCAAATAGAACAGTTTAACAACATATCCTGAGCCTTTGTGTACAAAAGGCATGAACGGAACCAGAGTTTCGCGCTACAAAAAGCGAAAATAAGGAAAACAAGGATAGGAAGACCGATCTCCGTCGCCTATTTCCTACAGCAAAAACAGTTGCAACGAGACCGGAAGTTTGCGTATAGAAAAAATTAATGTATGCCATCCAAACATTCAACAAACATTAACAACATCATGATTGGAGTCTGTATTTGACGATTTATGGGCGAAGCTGCACCATTATTGCGTTTAAAGCTATTGCGAGTATTTGAGAAAGGCGCCTTATATAGATCATACGCCGTCTTTGACGTTTGACGTGCGCCGAGATTCAGTTAGTTGCCATGGTGTTAATGACATATCTTTGTTGTTTGTTGATATTTTTCTATGTAAATTTGTGAAAATGTTTCAGTTATATAGGTTTATAACATACTAAAATATCAAATTCGTACCTGTTTTATTTAGCTTTTAAACAATATTGTCACAGAATATTGGGACAACCCACGTATAAACAATGTCAATTATTTTGCATCGATGCCTATAATTGTATTGATATGTATGTAAATTAAACACAGCGTTTTATGAATAGTTTTTAGTCGTAACTAAATATGGAAGGAAATTACTGGACCCTAACTCTGCTTTGTTACCGAAACCATTGCTTGGTACCTAGTTTATTTTTTGATACCCTGTCTATTGCTTGTTACAGGGTCTGTTTACTGTTAAGTACCCTATCCATATCTTGGTACCCTGTTTATTGCTTTGTAACCTTTCTATTATTGGTACCTTGTTTATTGTTTATTATCCTTTCTATTGCTTGGTTCCCTAACTGTGGCTTTGTTCCTTGTACATTATTTTTGACCCTTTTTATTAATTGGTAGCCTATTTATTGTTTAGTACTATATGCATTGCATGATACTTTGTATATTGTTGTGTACCCTATTTATTAACAAGTTCTGCTGCTTGGTACTCTACTATTGCCTGGTACCCTATCTATTGCTAGATACCCATTCTATTGCTTAATTACACTATCTATTGATTGGTACCCTATTTATTGCTTGGTACCCTACCTATTGCTAGATACTCATTCTTTTGCTTAGCTACATTATCTATTGATTGGTACCCTATTTATTGCTTATTTTTTGCTAGAAACCCTTTCTAGACTTCATACTCTATCGAGTATTTGGTACAATATCATCTATTGCTCGAGTGCACGTTTCGGAACATTTCGTACCTGTTCCACAGGAAGTTCCAGTGTATCCGTTACTGCATGCGCATGCGTAGGAATTAATCCCATCAATACATATTGCTCCATGTTGACACGGGTTCGGACTGCACTCATCTATTTCTAAACATATATGAAAAAATAAATAAGTTTTTTTTACAGAAAAAGTCTATTGAGACAAATGGGGTTTTCAAATGTTTTGCTGATTGTAACATAAGTGAATGAGGTCACCTACTTGTACTAACTATAAAAGTTTTCTGTAGATTCTTGTGAGGTTGTTGCATACTGGGCTAAACTGCTGGACAACCCACCCGTCTTTTACATGCTCCAGGAATCAAATTATCTTTTATTTCTTATCATAATTATTATTTAGTCATATTTGATACTTTAAATGAACTGTCCTTAGATAACTAAAATATTGTGTTGGTCTTGGAAAACAAGTGACTTGTACAAAAAAGACCAGAATTGGAACCGGAAGTTTACCTGTTTCACAGAACGTTCCGGTGTATCCTGGTACACACACACATTGGAAAGCATTACCAATATATTGACAGTATCCACCATTTTGACAAAGTACTTGTTGGCAGGAAGTTTGAGGTATGACTGTTAAGTTATAAAAACTACATATTACTTAATTATATGTGTTATATACTATATAAGTATTACAGCTTCGTGATGAATGACTGATATACAGCATTCAATTTACGTTATACCTTTCATGTCATTTCAATGGTATAGAACTGAAACGTAAATGTTTAAAACCTTAATTTTACATATGGTTTATGTATCCTTGGTCATAATACAAAATTACATATAAAATTGTTCTATCATAATTTAAGTAAGCAAGTCATTTCTTGAAGGCATGTTATTTAATTGAATAAGATTAATAATATCAGTCATATGTTGCTGTTCAGATCGAAATATCCATTCCGTGGTGAAACCTGCTCATTGAGCGGTAACAAGGCTTGCCAATATGTTTCTCTTGCATATTCTACCATATACAATCATATTTTAAATTCTTTACCTTATTAAAATGATTTTGTGTGGAAATTTATGAAACCCGTAACTATTTTCTTACAACAGTGTAAGAAGCTACAACTCCATTCATAATGACGAAATTACGTCAACCTAAGCATGCCACGTGTATAGCACGCAACCCATCTGGCACCCCTATACCAGATGAAATTTTCAGCATGGATAAAACTAATGGAATTGCCACTTTGATATGCAAGAAAAAAACAACTCATCTTTATCATACTATATACATGTAGTCAACAGATAAATGATTTTACCTGTTGCACAGTTGGTCCCAATAAAGCCGGCACTACAAATGCAACTATAGAAATTTACGCTGTCAACACAAGTCGCTCCATTCTGACATTGGTTTGGAATACACTCGTTGATTTCTTACCATAGATTAAAAAACATAATTTTAATCATATGATCAAATAGTTGTGTTGCTTAATCATATGAAATAGTAGTTATGGTGTTTCAATTATATTATGGACAAGTTGTGTTGTTTTCACCACATGACAGACTATGGTGAAATAATTTTCTCGTTTAATTTATATACATGTAGTTGAATAGTTGTGTTGTGTTAAACATATGATGGAATAGTTATGTATGTTGTGTAAAGCAACTGTGCTAAGTTCTGTTGGTTCAAAGGGATTTTGGATTCTTTCATTTGGGCAACTCAGAATTTTGCATATCATTGAACAGTTGTGTTACTATGTGCATATCAGAATTAAAATGAAGACAAATTATGTTCGGTTATACGCTGACGAAACTATCATTTAAATTTCACTTATTAGAATCACTAATAATTTACTATATAAACATACCTATTTCACAATTTGTTCCTGTAAAACCTGGCTGACATGTACACACATACTGGAAATTACCAATATCATAGCATTGTCCACCATTCTGACATGGGCTTTGACTACAGACATTTTGGGCGATAACTGTATTGCAAAATAATAAAACCAGGTTAAGGTTGTCTTACTGTAATGCTTTCCCACCAAAAATTTCTAACCTCGGCCAATATTGTAATAGATTGGTCATTTCCGAAACGTTTTTTTCTTCTTCACAATTTTCGGTATGCAATAATTTTTTAACCGGTTATAACCGGAATTTAATAGATAGCGATAAAGGATGAGTGATTGGAAATAATCTAATGTCCAAGATTTTGAAAAAATAACGTTCTAGAAATAACCTGAATAAGCTACGAAATTGGCTGATATCGTCAATCATCATTTTTTGGCATGAAAGCATTACTGTAAGACTACTATAAAACAGCAAAATATATTCAGAATGAAGGCAATACAACAAGACTTGTAAGGAAAAAAAACCTCAGAAGGGTAATGAATGTTTTGGGTGTCATGTAGAATCTCTGCATATAATTGAGGTCGTGTCATCCTCAAAAGTCTGGGTGATACAAACTACGGGAAAATGATTAAACATTAAAGCAGTTGTAAATGTGCAGCAAAACTGTCGAATTACATAATTTCTTCTAAAGAAAATGTCTTAATAATCGATTAATCGTTAATAAGAAATAAATATACTGACTTTGTTACCAATTAATTGTGATTAAAGATGTAGCAAATATGTTTGACCACACTCTTTATGCAAATCCTGTACTGTCACAATTCGTAATGACCAACCGTTATAGTTTAAATTAATTTTACTTTAATTCATATTCATGTATCTGCAACTTTGAAAGAAGCCGGAAGTACATGACTGACTTACCTGTCTCACAAAAAGTACCAGTATATCCAGTTACGCAGACGCACGTGTACGAGTTGATACCATCAACACACGCGGCCCCGTTCTGACAATTGTTAGAATCACACTCATTGACATCTGCATGACATAATAATAAGATTAGATAAAACTTCAATAAAATAAGTTAATGATTTTATGTTAATGCATTTTATTTCTAACTTATTCTTCGCTAGAGATATGGCATCATATTTAACCATTGAAGATTATCTGAATTGCAGTCATTTGATTGGCTACACTCAAATCATGTAGCAAAGAAAAGATGGACCACTGTGTAGGAACTTTGATGAATGCAGTGTTAAGTGCCATTTTGGAAATGGGAAGCAGTCACTTTGAATAAAGGATGTGCACATTCGTAAGTTACAGACAACGTTATAAGTGATAATTTAGCAGTTAATCTCAGGAATGTAAAGAAATAAAAGTATAATACTTTGACCTACTATTTCAGGTAATATATACATGTATATAATTACATAATCTACAAAATTATATGAAATATATTAATTATGTAAAGAGAAATCACTTTCATTTAATCTTATTTACTCTTTTTTGAAAAGACGAGTTTATTTTCTTAAAATTATGAAAGATGTCCATTTTGATGTTCGTATGAGAACGTTTTGGGTCGAAAGTATACGTCAGTTCTCATTGTTTTTTGATTTGGTAGTAAATGTATAGTCAAGCTACAAGAGAATAAGAAAATTCAAGCTTCATCAGCCTCATTTTCATTAATAAATACATTGATGCCCTAAATGTTAAAAAGCAAATTCAAAACATGTCCATGTATTTACCTAGCTCACAATTATATCCACCAAAACCTGGGTTACATAAACACGTGTAGAAGTTACCAACGTCATAACACATCCCTTCGTTTTGGCAAGGGCCTGACTGACAGGAACTTGTTGGTAGAACTTATGAAAAATGTCACAATTAACAATTATTAGTCACTTGGCAAATTAAATGATAATACCTTCTACTATACATTTTAACTCAGATTTATATTTGTTATAAATAAATATGTGGAATGTAATAAATAAATATGTGGAATATACGAACGAATAAAACCACTGCTTTTTCATGCATATTATTTGCATTTGCGCATTTAAAGTTACCCCAAAATTTCTAAGCATTTTAATTTTTTAAAGAGGTTTCATTTCTTATGCATTTTATATTGTTTTTATCAACACAAGTATTGGGAAGTAGTAGTAGTAGTGGTAGTGGTTGTCTTCATAATAATAATCATAATAATGAAATAATAATAATAATAATCAAATGATGAACCTGTTTCACACAAAGTTCCCGTATACCCTGGTCTACAGGAGCAAATAAATGAAGTGAGGTTCAAGTCATAACAATGTCCACCATTTTGACACGGGCTTTGACTGCAGGCACTTTGTGGTAGCACTGTTTAGTAAAATCAAGCAATAAAGGTTTTATATTTGCGTAATGACAATGAAGTTAGTTAATGTTATCAAAAGCAATATACTGAACAACAATCATATTCAATTTTTGTTTTGAACAAATATAGGTGGGTCCGTGGCCGTGTGGTTTAAGGTCGTTGATTCCAAATCCCTAGCATCTCATCGCTGTTGCTGTAGGTTTGAGCCGCGCCAGCGTCTTTGGGTTCTTCATGTGAGAAAGCTATCTAGCTGGCTTACGGAATGCCGTTGGTTTTACTCAGGCACTCGTTTGTGCTTGAAATTATGCACAAAGGGACACCTGAGGTCTTCCTCCTCCAGTAAAGCTAGAATGTCGCCATGAGACCTATACTGTATTGGCGCCACATAAAACCATCCAAAAAAGAACTACATAAAAATATTGCTTTTTTGTTGTTGTTGCTTTACAGGTACATGACAAATGGCATTCATATGTAGAAGTATTAGTTTGTTTCAAATTTTCCAGGGTTTCATGGTGCAGTTCAACACTCGAATTCTTGTTTACCGAGAATATTTCTATACAAAACTTTTTGTAATAGTTATTCTACCTGTTCCGCAGTTGGTTCCAGTAAATCCTTGACTGCACATGCAGTTGTAGGAATTTACACCATCAATACATGTTGCTCCATTTTGACACGGGTTTGGACTGCACTCGTCGGTTTCTTATCATGAAAAAAATATAGGCATGTTTGTGTTGAGACTATTAATGAAAACATTGAGTATTTCATGGCATTAACAGATACAGCAATTGATTAAAGATCAAAGGTCACCAAAATGACAATGAAATAAGTTTTATCCATAAACATAAGAATTCAGTCAATTTATACACATTTTGTCTCAGTTCTTAGAAAACAATATCAATATCTACAGAATAAAACAAAAATCTGAATAAAAAATGAAAATGTTGTAGTTACTCAATTAAAGAAGGCCAATATATTCCTAAAGCAAGTGTATGTTTCTTGTTACTAACCACTTATTTTTATTACTGCGTCTTTTAACTATTTCTCGTTTAATTGAAACTAATAGTTTAAAAACACAAGTCATTTTGATCAAGAGCAATAAAGCGTTTTGATTACCTTTAGCTTCCCACATTATAACTGAATATTAGTAAGTGACGATGTTGACCGAATGTGTTAGAGTTATTTATTGATTGTATAAGTATATGCAAAATTTGATTACCTTGTTCACAATAGTTGCCAGTGTATCCCAGTAAACAAATGCAGACAAACGAATTCCCAAAACCATGACAGTAACCACCATTGTGACAAGGATTCTGTTGGCAAACATGTTGTCCAAGCACTAAGTATATTGAAATGTAATAAAAATAAGAAAGTCATTTAAGTGTTTGAAATCAGTACTATATATACATGAGAAGTACAAGCCAATAGGGATGCAGAAACCAACAATCGGTTCATTTTTGTGTAACACCAAGCCCATTTGACAACTTCTCAGCTCTCATGTGCAGAAATACTCCGGGCACTGAAGTTTCTTTGCAAATTACTTTTTTTTCAGGCATGGGAGATGGGAAAGATAGTGCCTGGGTGGCCAATTACAAATTATTTCACACCTGCGATTCTAATTACAAAAGTTGTCCTTTTCGTAAAGGAAATCATTCTTATCACAAATGTAATTGGTTACACGAATAAAGTATTACAGATCTATCTACAAAGTTCAAAAATTCAATTTCCTTTAACGTTTATAAAATCTATATTGGTGACCCCGATCCCCCCCCCCCTTCATACCTATTACAGGGTAAATGAGCGGTGTTACCATATGGGATCTTTAAAAAAGATCTATATTGTTAGAGTCAGTATCCCTGGCAAATTTTGCAGGGTTAACAAAGAAAACGTGTAGATTAAGGAACATTACCTATTCCGCAATTGGTTCCAGTGTATCCTTGTCTACACAAGCATGTGTAGGAATTCAAACCGTCAACACAAGTCGCTCCATTCATACACTGGTTTGGACTGCACTCATCGGTTTCTTATCATAAGTGAATAACAACAAATGTACATAGCTATAACACTTGTACATAAAAAGGTATTAAAAAGGTAATTTCGCATGATTCATTTTTATTTGTACGAGCAAAGGTATGTATTATTTTGCACGATTCATTTTTGATATATCTTTTTCTATATTTTACATTTGTTTTACTTTTACTTGATTTGACTCATAGTAAATGTTCATTGGAATCAATAACTGCTGCTTCCATATTCAGAATTAATGTTATTACATCTTTAACATTGATTTGCAAAGCAAATTACCATTTAATGTTGATAAGATGATTATTTAGATATTTATTATATACTTATAACTGAAATATTGAGAAATATTTGATGAAATAAAATGCTTATTTTAATTTTCCGTATTTTCACTGTAAAAACTGCAATGAAACATACATGTTATATTTTCCTTATTTCCACTGGTGTTGCTGGACTACTTTCTTCTTAATTCAGCCAATACTCAAAATTAAGAAAAAGTATATAATAATCAGACAATTCAAGTTTTTTCTATAAATACAGGACTTATTTTCCTCTTGTGGTATAAATTATCATATTTCAATTGTGGCTACCTCCTGTCATGAAATATTTATTTTCATACCGCTCGCTGAAAATAAATTGTGTAATTATAGAAAAAAACTTGTATCCTCAATATATTTTTGCTTCATTTGCCATTAATAATATACATGTAGATTCATATTACCTTTCTCGCAGTAAATTCCAGTATATCCTGTCGGGCAAACACACGTGTAAGTGTTGACACCATCAACGCACGTGGCTCCATTCTTACAATTGTTAGAATCACACTCGTCAATATCTGTACGTTCAAAAATATAATGGATAAAAATCACATAGATATCTTAATAATGGCCATTCGGTTCATTTTATTTCATTTACTTCTAATATACCTTTTTGCTTTAACGCATTGCCAGTTTTGGAACTGCCAATGTGTGTCATGGTAGGCTTTTTATTACATAATTATATTTAGTGTAACTATCCAGAGTCTTAGAACAATTGGCAAAGAATAACTATCATACATAAAGCAACTAGAAATGTGTCCATAGGACACGGGTGCCCCCACCGCGCCACTGTTCTGTCAATCTTTTTACTAAGTCAAGGGAAATAACTCTACAAATACTGGATAAATCCACAAGCGAAACCCCAGGTGCAAATCTAAATATGCTGAGCAACCTACCCATAAGGTTTAATGACTATGTCAAATCCTTTTTGAGTAACTTGCGACACAAGAAAAAATTTAATGTAAAAATTTTCTAAGTGAAGGGCAATAACTCTAAAAATACTAAATAAATCCAGACGAAAATACCTGGTGCATAACGGCACATGCTGATCAATATTCCTGTAAAGTTACATGACTCTAGATAGGTCAAATACTTTTTGAGTTACGTGCGACACAAGTTGAAAATTGCAAAATATTACTAAGTCAAGGGCAATAACTCTCAAAATACTAAAAATACCCAGACGAAAATACCCAGGTGCACAACAACACATGCTGATCAACATTCCTGTAAAGTTTCATGACTCTAGGTCAAATACTTTTTGAGTTACATGCGACACAAGTTGAAAATTGCAAAATTTTACTAAGTCAAGGGCAATAACTCTAAAAATACTAAAAATATCCAGACGAAAATACCCAGGTGCACAACTACACATGCTGATCAACATTCCTGTAAAGTTTTATGACTCTAGGTCAAATACTTTTTGAGTTACATGCAACACAAGTTGACAATTGCAAAATTTTACTAAGTCAAGGGCAATAACTCTGAAAATACTAAAAATATCCAGACGAAAATACCCAGGTGCACAACTACACATGCTGATCAACATTCCTGTAAAGATTCATGACTCTAGGTCAAATACTTTTTGAGTTACGTGCGACACAAAAGTGAACGGACGGACGGACGGAAGGACGGACGGAAGGACAAGGGTAAATCTAAATGCCCGCCACTAACGTGGGGGCACAATAAAAATAAAGGTGATTGGTTCTTTCATTTATATTTTTATGTATTTCATGTGTAACTTACAAAATTATATCTAACAAGCAATTATCATAGTATTGCAAGCAATCCATAAGTCCCCTACCGGTAAGAGCCCAAGCAACATTCTGAAGGGCCATTGGCCATTCACTTAGGTTCCTATTTTAAGTAAATTTGTTGAAAAAGTTCTTTAAAAGTGATCACAGGAAACAGTTTTAATGTACAGACAGACGGACTGAAGGACACTCTAAAGTTATTTTTTAAACATCCCTGTTATCAAAATATAACATTTTTAAAATCCTATCATGATTGAAGAAGTTGGAGTAAAAATTACCAATTTCTCAAAAAAAGTCTAAGTTCAAAAGGGGCATAATTCTGGAAATAGTCTTGCTAGAGTATTGAACACTCACAAATGTTGAGTGATAATAAGAAACATTTATACGAAGTTTGAAGTAGATACATTCAGAAAAAGAAGTTATTAAAAAAAAACAATGTTTTTTTCATGAAAATTTTAAGTTCAAGGGAGGTAATTCTGATAACTTTTGTGCTAGAGTTGTAAACCTTGTCACATATGATGTGGTTGATGACAAGCAACTTATATTTAAAGTTTGAAGAAAATACCTTAAGAAATAAAGAACTTATAGTGAAAAAACTTAAAAACTAGAATCAGAAATTTTGAAATTCAGTCTATTTGTTGCCATAGCAACCAGAATTTTCAACATAGGAAGATAAGAAAAGGATGTGCATAATTTTCATACTGTCATCTACCCATACATCAAGTTTCATAAACATATTTTCAGTACTTTTTGTGTTATCACTGGATCCAGGTAATGTGTAAAATTTGCCATATTTTCAGTTTATTTGTTGCCATAGCAACCAGAATTTTCAACATAGGAAGAAAAGAAAAAGACGTGCGTAATCTCCATACTTCCATCTATCCATATATCAAGTTTCATAAAAATATTTTCAGTACTTTTTGCGTTATCGCGGGATCCAGGTTATGTGTAAAATTTGCCATATTTTCAGTCTATTTGTTGCCATAGCAACCAGAATTTTCAACATAGGAAGAAAAGAAAAAGATGTGCATAATCTCCATACTGCCATCTATCCATATATCAAGTTTCATTAAAATATTTTCAGTACTTTTTGCGTTATCGCGGGATCCAGTTTTGTGGACAGACGGACTGACGGACGGAGGGTAAACCTAAAGTCCCCTCCGGTAAACCGGTAGGGGACTAATTATACAACTAAATGCTTACACAATCATAGCGTATGAAGCTTTTATTTAAATTGACAACTTAATGCTTACCTATTTCACAATCATATAATCTGAAACAACTATCTAAATGAACATCTAAATGATTACCTATTTCACAATCATATCCTGTAAAGCCAGTGTTACATGAGCACATGTACGAATCATCAATGTCATAACACTGCCCTCCGTTCTTACATGGGAAAAATCGACAGGAACTCATTGATAAAACTGTATTATTTTAAAAGAATATGAAAGTACATTTATTAATTTTAACGAAAAATTTTAAAACTTATATCACATTTCAACTGTACTTTAAACCATCTAAGGTAAAAAGGTAAGTTTCAGCTTTCAGATCCTTGTGCATGTTAATATATAAACATCATACTGAAAAAATAACATAGTTAAGCAAGGCGAACATTTTCGCGGAAACAACATTTTTGACTAGTTGGTGAGATTGAATATTTGCAAATTAATACATCAGTTCTCTTAAATCAAATGTATATTATAGATCAATACTTAGCGAACTACTTCAGAAAAAATCTTCAGTTCACAAAATAAACAAAATTTAATATCTAGCTAAAATTTCTGATTTTACTGTATTCTATATTACTATGAGCAATTTATGACAGCCTAAATTATGCATCAATGAAGAATTTACCTCTCCCACAATTCTTTCCAGTGTAGCCTGGACTACACAGGCAGTAGTAGTCGTTGACATCATCAACACAAACCGCGCCATTCTTACAAGGGTTTGACATGCACTCGTCCAATTCTTATATCGGCAAGATAAAAAAAGTTTATTCAAATTTTGTTTCAAAAAAACCAACAACATTGTATGTATATTTAATTGAGAAAAATCATGAGGACATTGTAATTCACAAGTTTATCTGATTTTAAAAGTGTGGTTTTAATAAATCTCAAAATAGAAAACACTTTCATGCAAACTATGTTTTTGCAATGAAAGTGATTGTGACCACATTTTAATTCCTGCTATGTAAATATATGTAATATCGGATAATGTATCACACATGTGCCAACAACATTCATGTATAATTCTTTCATGTTTTTTTGTTATGTCTGATGCTAAATACTTTTGATGTAATTATTTATGTTCTTGTATTGCAGACCTTCAATTATAGACCAAGCCACTTTAACAATTTTCACCATTTCTTTACACAAATTGGCCCAGCAGTAATTCCTTTTTCATTAGTTATATAAATATAAAGTATTTAAAGCTGCTTTATCAATTGATTAGTGAGAATAAAAATTCAGTCACTTTCGTGCAGCAATAGGTAAACTCCTTATATGATGTTAACCCGTTACTGCACTGAGGTTGCAAATTACTGATTGTTGATAATTACTAGTATGCTACAGCGTTTTCTTTTACGAGTGTGTGTAAGAATGCATTCATTTTGAGATGATTGTTATATATAAGAAGATAGCTGGTACATACCCGTCTCACATCTGGCTCCAGTATATCCGGGAGAACAAGAACATCTGAACTTGTCCTTGAAACGACCACTACAACTACCCCAGTGTCGACATGGGTTCGGGTTACATGCACTGATAACTGAAAATAAGTGATTAATCTAGACTCTATAGCAAATTGTCATTAGTTTTCGCGAGTTTTGATATAAACTGTTTTTGTTCTCTTTCTCTCCAATTTTTTCGTAAAATTATTTTCTAATGAAGGTAAGACCAGGGTCTTTCAAATAAAATCTATTTGAAAGACTCTGGTAAGACCGTTACTTATAAAAATAATGATAAATTGGTTAAATCACAATATCTGTATCATTGATGAAGTTTTTCTAATTATAACAATCCGATAAATTTGGAAGCATGCTTCTTTAATGGTTTTCATCACAAGAAGTGTGCATGTATATAAGTAATTCATTTGATGCGTCATTATTATAGCTTTATATAGTTTATAATGAAAAAAACTAAATGATAATGAATTAAATCTCGCACAAATCTAATGTTAATTTTTACAATCAAAGAATGGTTTAGATTAATTTAAAAACATTCTTACATTCCAAGCATTTTCCTGGATCACAACCACAGTCAGTCTCCGGATCAAAAATACACAAATGACCCCTTGGACACTAATGACAAAAACAGAAATCATACAGTTAAAGTTAAACTAGCAGATTTTCTGACATACTACAGTAATAAAATGCAAAATTAAATGCTACACTCATGGAAGAGGGGCAAAATCTTAATGTTTAAACCTAAATTCAGTGCGAAAGTTTAAGGTCATTTTAATAAACGTATTTAAGAACAGGTAAAAGTGAAAATAACTTTACATATTGCCATTATTGTGTTTAATTGTATATCTTAATCAACAATCCGCACGGAAGCATGGACATTTCTATTAATATTTTCAATCAAAATAAACCAATTGCTAGTTTTTACGAAACGTACATTGGAAACAAATGACATGGAAAACTATTTACAGATAAAAAAAAGTTTAACTCTAAACTTTACCTTGGAATAGATAAAAAAAATAAGCAAAAGTTTATCTCGGAATAGATAAAAGATATTAAGGAAAAGTTTACCTCGGAATAGATAAAAGATAGGGAAAAGTTTACCTTTGAATAGATAAAAGATACAGTAAGGAAAAGTTTACCTTGGAATAAATAAAAGAAAAGGAAAAGTTTACCTAGGAATACAGTCATAAAAGATAAGGAGTGTTTACCTCGGAATAGATAAAAGATAAGGAAAAGTTTACCTCAGAATAGATAAAAGACAAGAGGGCCATGATGGCCCTGAGGTCGCTCACCTGTATATAGGCCCCTGGAGCCGAGCCAGTTTAAAACCCAGGGCTTTTATTTGAACAAACTTGAAAGACACCCATTAGAAGATGTTTCAAGATGTTAAGCTTTTACGACACACATATAATGAAAAACAATGATCTCCTCCCTGCTGTTCCCCCTCCCGGCAGGGCCAATTTTAACCCAAGGGCTTTTATTTGAACAAACTTGGTAGACACCCATAAGAAGATGTTTCATCCTAAACATCTAAGCTCTAGCTCATTGGGTTTTTTAAAAGAAGATTTTTTAAGATTTTACAATACACATATAGTTAAAAACAATGACATCCCTGGGGCCGGGCCAATTTTGACCCCAGGGCTTTTGTTTGAACAAACTTTGTAGACACTCACCAGAAGATGTTGCATGCTTAATATCTAAACTCTAGCTATTTGGGTCTTTTCAAAGAAGATTTTTTAAGTTTTTGCTATACATATATATATATAAGGAAAATCAATGACCCCCGGGGCGTGGCCAATTTTGACCCCAGGGCTTTTATTTGAACAAACTAAGTAGACACCCATTAGAACATGTTTCATGCTAAATATCTTAGCTCTAGCTCTTTGAGTTCTTTAAAAAAAGATTTTTTAAGTTTTTACTATATGCATATAGGGAAAATCAATGAACCCCTGGGGTGGGGCCAATTTTGACCCCAGGGCTTTTATTTGAACAAACTTGGTAGACACTCATTAGAAGATGTTTCATGCTAAATATCTAAGCTCTAGCTCTTTGGGTTCTTTAAAAGAAGATTTTTTAAGTTTTTACTATATGCATATAGGGAAAATCAATGACCCCCTGGGGCCGGCCAATTTTGACCCCAGGGCTTTTATTTGAACAAACTTGGTAGACACTCACTAGAAGATGTTTCATGCCAAATATCTAAGCTCTAGCTCTTAGGGTTTTTTAAAAGAAGATATTTAAAGTTTTTTCATTCGGTTGCCATGGCAACCAGAGTTCTGCATGGAATTAAATTCTTTGAACAATTTTTAAAAGTGACCACCAAAGGAACATTCCTGTGAAGTTTGGATGAAATTGGCTTAGTGGTTTATGAGGAGATGTCATTTAAAGTAAAAGTTTATGGACGGACGGACGACGGACGGACAGACGCCGGATGGACGCTGGACGAAAAGCGATCACAAAAGCTCACCCTGTCACTTTGTGACAGGTGAGCTAATAAGGAAAAATTTACCTCGGAATGAATAAGATAGGGAAAAGTTTACCTCAGAAAAGATAAAAGATAGGGAAAAGTTTACCTCGGAATCAGAATAACAGTCTTTATTTCGACCTTTGAACTTTACAGATCTGGACTCAGTGAAGTAACAAACACTTGCCATTAACAAAACAACCTGAAATAACAGACCAAACTTTAAAGCAACATGCCTGCAAGATTCATGCTAATTTTCATGAATTTTTAAAAAATAGTATTTAAGAGTATAATATCGTGAGGTGAACAAAGAAAAGTAATTTACACATCTTAGTTAATATTACATTTTTGTGTTATTTGACATTAATTAAATTTAAATTGGCTTAAAATCGACGTTTTACATTTTAAATTGGCTTAAAATCACCGTTTACATTTTAAATTGTCTTAAAACCGTCGTTTTACGGTTTAATTAAAGGGCCATATTTATTTATTAAATGTGTGATATTAAATTGGCTTAAAATCACCTTATTATGTTATATCACATTGATAACGGGAAACATCATGTGGTACAGGAACGTTACATAATTATAAACGTGTGTAAAATCAAGGAAAAATAATCTTACCTTGAACACAAGAAAACCCATCTCTGCTGAAGTGTTCTGTGTGAAGATATGTTTCAGTAAAAAACTAGACTGGTTTGTGTTACCTAACACGTCGGCATGACAAATAATTCAACAAATGTTGCCAACTATAAAATGGTCTCACAAAATTACGGAATTGCCAATTTCCTCGACCCAATGGCTATTATCACTGTGTAATATAGTAATAAAATTAAAATTTGCATAACTGACGAAGAAAATTGAATAAATAAATTATTTTGACCTTATCGATAGAAACAGATGTTTGAAAATTGAGGTGTTTGATTCGGACAAGTCAACAAAACAATATATCTTAAAAAATGATATAGACTAGGTTTAGATATTTTGTGTTGTGTCAAAGTCAGTTTTGCATTATTTTTGCATTTAAGTCCGATTATTAGAAACAAGGCCTTAAACATTTGCTTACATTATTTTCGAAGTTTAAATATAGATTTCTTTGACCCTTTAAGTCAGTATGAAATGAGTGAAAATTTGGTAGCTTTAAAACTTCAACTCATCCAAACCCCATTGGTCAACCCCCATTATTTTATTAATTGTATAAAGATAATTATTATTGAAGATACAGTGATGCACCTTTAACAGATGACAAAAATTTGATGGGATTCCTGAACCCATACTCTCTATTTTCTTCAAAAATGAAAGATACCCAAAACAATTCAAGACATGTCAAACAATTTTTTCAAATATGATTTTCTCTGGTTTTGTTTTTGTTATTTAAGAACCATTGCTCTTCCTTACCTCTTCTAAGCTGGAAATTTCTAGATATTGACCATTCATATTTGATTTCGGCTTTTAACGTCAGCAATATCCATAGCACTCCAAGTGGAAACACTTACACCATACCACTGAACACTTGGTCAGACCCCTTGTATGGTCAGCCAGATATAGAGAGATTACTTGTCACATTTGCCTCATTACTTGTAAGTGATTAGCAAGAATCTTTTGCTAAGAAATCGACCAATGTCCATTTGTTCAGATTTGACTGTATTATTTCTGGCCAGCCAGTTCACTAAGAACCTAATTTTGCTAGCTGGATTACACACAGAGCACCTAGAAGTGTCCCAGCTAATCTTGCTTTCTGGGTCTCTTTATGTAGATGTCAATCTGCAGATAGTTCTTTTTAAACCACTGCAACAAGTGAGTCAAGGTGATAGATGTCAGGAGAGAATAAAGAAAATGCTCAAAGAACTTGGACGTCTTCTATAGTTTAGAAGATGTAAGACTAAGTTCATCAGCAGATTTCCTTTATTAAAACTGAGGAAACACAACCTGTCCAAATAATTGTCATACAGAACAATGTCGTTTGAATTTTCATAGTCATAAAAGGAGAAAGATTATAAATTCTATATAGATATGGAGCGTCTTTGGTCGAGTAATAAAGCTCCTTTACTTCTAACCAACTCCCCATCACCGCTTTGGGTTAAAATCAATTAGATTCTTTCATACGACGAAGCTATCTAGCTGATTTAAGAATATTGAAGGTTCTACTCAGGATACCATTCGTGACTGAAAATAATGCGGTCTTCCTCCGCCAGTAAAGCAACAATCAACAGAAGAAAGGCGAATATCTTAGTGTAAACAAAATTTACATTGGGCATAAGATAACGATTGGAAATTTGAGATCGGAGGTTGGCAACCCAGTGCAGGATCACAATTTACAGGGAGTAAATGGGTGGACGGCAAAGTAATGCAATAAACACTATTTGCCATGAAACTGGTGGATTGCAAAACAGTAAAATATCACAATTGTCATAAGATTGATAGATGGTAAACCAGTACAATTTGATAGCAGATTCACAAGTAACTAATACGAATATAAAGATTTTCATTTCTTTTTATTTACTTTGATCAACATAAAAAAGTGTAAACAATACAATATAAAGTAATCTGCCATATACAATAACAAATATTGAACTATTGTTTTTATAATATATATGATCTACAAAGCAACATA